AAACGCGGGTGACCATATCCCTGTACATTCCAGCATATTATTTTAACATCCATAAAGAAAGATAAGTGTAGTAAGCCAAATCATTCCAACATGGGAACCGCTTGGAAGTGCAAATATTATGCATGGCACAGTTGCGTTGAGCAGGATTAGTAGGATCAGAATCTGTTGTTGTTAAAGGCGCTTCACTCGATTGAGTTTGGTTCGTATAAGGTGGTTCTCGTGGTAAGAGTTTGTGCTGGGTAGCCCCATGCATGGCTTGTAAATTCACACCGTCGACAATGTTTGGATTAGTATTCTTTGATAGCACGATGGGTGAATGTTTCGACATGTCCAATATGGAAACACGTGGCTCAATAGTGCTTTGGCAGAGTTGGTGGTTTGACTGACCCTGGCATCCATTCGAGGATTTAGCAGCGATCTTGGGGATCATTAAAAGTTTACGGACAAGAGTGGGCACCTTGCTTTTAGAGCATGTTGATCGCTGGAATTTCCTTTGCTTGACTGTGCGTGAGAAACTAGAGAATGAGCATGAGAAGCATGATGAGCATGAGGAGCTTGGTTGGTGTTTGTAGCTTGATTTGGATTTACAAACACAGCAGCAGTAACATCATCGGTTGATTCATATAGAAGGTTGAATCTCGAACCATTGTTCTTCAAATTTTGTCCTTTGTCCACATAAGGTTTTTTTATTGTTTTTTCTTTGTCTTCTTTCAACAACCATCCATGGTCCAAATGGTTCAGAGCTTTGCTTGGCATTTAGCAATTGTGGTTTACTTACTTGTTCTTTTGGGTCATTTGAATCTTGCTGGTCAATAATAATTTTGTCTTGGCAGATATCTTTAAAATGTCCTTACTGACCACATGAGAAACATATTGTAGGCAGCGATTCGTGTTCGACGATCTGGACACGCCCATTGATAAGGAGCTTCGAGGTTAGCGGTTTTTTTAGGTCCACACTTACCTCCATTCTTACAAAATGTCCTCGACAACCAGTTTCCGTTTGATAGTTAATTTTAACAACATTTCCAATGCATTCACCAATTTCAGTAATAAGGCTACGTCTATAGAGTGTTACCGGTAGTCTCGGAAGGCAAATCCACGCCACAATTCTACTAGGAAATAATTGTGAGGAGGTAAAATCCGGTGACCACGGTTCAAAAGTTAAATAATTACCAAAGATTGTCCATGGACCATTGGAGAGGGCAGTCAAGATATATGGGCATGTTCGTAACGAAACATGGAAATAATCGTTCTCTATGTCCATGAGACAAAAGGGCTTGAGATGGCTTCCATAGATCATAAAGTTTATTCCAAAGAGTTGTGTAGCCAATAAGCCTCCCAAGCAGCTTATCCACAACTGTCTGATCAAAAGTTTTATTGGTTATGGCTTGGACCCGATTGGAGAAATCAATGGAGATTAAACCATCAACGACTCCATGAATTACATCATCCTCGAAGACTTCAACATCTTCATCGTCTAGAATTTCATCATCGATCAAAGGTTCTTTAGGGTTGTCTTTAATGAGGGTGTCACGATAGGAGGTTGGAGCAGGTGGAATAACTGAAGTAGTTTTGCTGGCCACTTCAATATCATAATGTGTGAAGCATCGCCGCCTGTGTCTGGTGGTTCTTCATCAAGTCGGCGGGCTTTCTTTGTTAAGCAATCCTCTAAGGTTTGTGGGGCTAGGTTTTCCATCCACTATATCTTGTAGTTCCTCATCAAATTACTTAATTTTAAACTTTTTACATAGTGATTTAGTTCAATAAAAAAGTTTAAAATTTAAAGAGAAGAAAAAAAATTAAAACTACTTTTTCCTAATATTTTGGAAGCTAAAAATACCATTATTCAAATTATATTATTTTATTGCACGAGCGAAGCGACTTTTATGATTAAGGGAATGACTGATATTTTTTGAGATTTCGGATATGAGCACCAACAATTATAGAATATTTGAGTTATCATTAGCAAATAATTAAGAGTCTTTATAACCTATATTATCACTTATAATCACCATAGATAAAAAAATATTTCCTTATATATTTTAACATGGTCAATATATTCATATTGTTTTTTTTATTATTATTATGGTAAAATATACTTTTAGACCCATCAATTATATGTTTGACAATGAACGAAATGTTTTTTTTATAGAAGTTACATACACGGAACTCAATTAAATTATTTTTACAAACAAATCATTGATAGTTAAATATGAGACGTAATAGTGATGTGGTCTATAATTATAAGAGTTTTAGACTTTAAATTTTTACTGTTAATTTGGTCTTAATTAAAAAATTAATGAATTTAATCTCTCATATTTAAAAAATTTATCAATTTTAATATTTTATTTCATGATGAAATGTGATTATTCAACTGTTATTTTGTTTAAAAGTATCAAAAAATATGAAATTAATATGAATAATTAAATTTATTAAATCATTCTAAAGTATAAAGTATAAACATATTTCATTTTCAATAACAGATACAAGTGATATAATCAATACAGAATACCGTGTCAAGCTCAATCTGAAACAAAACAAGGGGCCACAAGCCCAAGCCTGGAGGGTTTTTGATCTGCCGTACAAGCACAAGTGGAGTGGAGCCAACGGCAGGCTATTCAATCCTTGGTAGAGTTCTGGACCCAAATAAACACGGCTTTAAAATCCAGAGGGACTGAAGTTGATATTTAACCATTTTGGTGGGGGTGATCAATGCCATAAAACAAAGGCCACCAATCATTAGAATGCTAATTATATGATTACTTGGGAGGACCTGCATCTCATGCTTATTGTATGGATGCTTGGACCTTGAAAGGACAACAAAAATGTAGAGAAAAACAAACAACAAAATCATCGGACTAGACTCTCGTGGAGGATATTAAAAGAATGAAAATATATATTTTATGTTATTGGTGTATTAGGTTGAGTGATTGACTCGAATCTAATGGATTTTGATTCGATTTAATATGATTGTGTTGATTTCTTTATCGAAAAAATTGAGTTTGGATTGAAATTTTTTAAGGGATGAGATAGGTCTGATTTACAATTATAATAAAAAAATTGATATGACTTGATTGAGCTAAAATTATAATTATCTTTTATATTTGTAGAGAAAATTACAATAATACATTTCTATATTATTTTTTCAATTATATAATCAACCTTTGATCACTCCTTTTTAGAGTATAATACGAGTTTAGTACTTAAACTATCAGTTTTGGTTCATTTTAGTGCCCAAACTTTCAATTTTTCTCAAAATCATATCTAACATTTAGTTTTTGTTTCATTTTAGCACCCACCTTAAAAACTTAAAGGACAGGCTAACAGGGCATAGGTCCGATGGACGGATGATTAATCTGAACAATGGACCACGAGAGAATGACGAGTCAACCAATATAATCCAGTTTAAGTCCCATCGAACGGTCAACGATGGAGATCAAAGGATATAGAAATCAAAGAGTTCATCGTCAATTTGGGGAGGTTGAGGTATTTTTCCGATGAAACGGATGTCGGAATCACGTTCATGGGTCAACAAGGTGTGGGTTGTAAAGTTTGGGCCTCATCGACCAACGAATGCGACGGTCGGCAACTGTAGACGCGACGACTGACGAGCTTATCTGTTAAAATTTTAATAATAGGTACTAAAATGAAACAAAAATTAAACGTTAGGCGTGGTTTTGAAAAAAATTAAAAAGTTTAGATATTAAAATAGATAAAAATGATAACTTATATACTAAACACGTAATTTACCCTTTTTTTATTCTTCACAATCTTTTGCTTCGTCAACTACGTCTTCTTTTTGTTTTTCCATTTCTAATAAACGATAAAAGGTCTTGTGAATTGATGGGAGCAAAGCAGTCGGAGAGAAGGTAAAGAAAAACATACAAGTCAAAATTGAAAGAGTTAAATTATGTTTCATTCATAAATATATTTCAATTATTACGCTATCCAAATTTTAAAAAAATACATCTAATATATAATTAATATATCAAACTTATATTTTTGAATAATTTTCGTAAATATCATATTTATTTATATAAAACATAATATAACATAAAACATATTATTGTGATCTCAAGTAGACAAATATATTATTTTTCAATGCATAAGATCTATTTTTTAATAAATAAAAATTAATTTTTTACAATAAATACATTTTCACCTCATAAAATTACAAAATGATTCATATAAAGATATTAAAAAATATGAAATAATTTTAACTACTCAATTTTATTTTACTAAATTAAACTCTTTATATATTATTATTATTATTGAGTTTGTAATTTTAAATAAAACACGAAAAATAAAAATTGAAAATAATTCATATAAAAAGAATTTATTATTTTAGAAGTATTTATGTCTAAAATAATGAAAATTATTTATTACCTAAGAATTTAGAGATAATACGTAATTAAATTTTGAACTCAGTTTTATTCTTAGTAGTCGTTGTACAAGATTTTGATATTCAGGCTTTTGTAATGTGAATTTGAAATAATATCAGAACCTAAGAATAACGAGAGTTAATTGTATCACACGTCTTTCAATTATTGCTTTTGTTATAAAATGATCTTTAACTTTTAAATATTCTAATCTATCCCTAAATTATGAATATCATTCTAAATTAAACATTGGACTTTTGAACATTTCAATCTCATCTCTAAACTATGATCTTCATTCTAAATTAATCCCAAACTTTTTGAACATTTCAATTTTATCCCAGGTTATATGTATATATGAATCACATCCATTGTTAATAAAATCATTAGGCCAAGTTATTTATTATATGTATGAAAAAAATAAAACTTAAGTTGGATTATAGTTGAAACCAGTTACATATTTGGATGAATCTGGGGATAAAATTGAAAGATTCAAAAGTTAAAAAGCCAATTTAGAATAAGAGTCATAGTTTAGGGATTGAATTGGAATATTAAAAAGTTGAAGGACCAATTTAACATGAGGATCATAATTTGAGGACGTGATGCAATTAACTCGCATAACAATGAACCAAAACTTCCATTAAATGTGAACATCACATAAACGTTTTCATAAAATCAGAAATTAAAATCAAAACTACACCAAACATTCCATACCGCATTCATTAAAAGTTCTTCCACCAAAGCAAACAAAAAGCAAAACATGCAACAAGAAAAACAAAACTAGAAAAGAGACGTTCCCTTCCCTTTCTTGTCTCCACCAATCTCAAAGTGTTTGCACCTCTGCAAATACGAATACGCAAAACATTAGCTCATCGATACAACAAAGTAAAACCAAAACAATAATAGATCGGCATGGCCTTTTCCGTGCACTGACCTTGATCGGATGCTGCGAAACATGCTTGCAACCCTGGCATTGCAGCCTCAGCACAATCTTCTTGGTAGTTTTTGCCTATTCAAAGAATACACAATTATGCTTGGTCTGACCACTACATACACATCAAAGAGAAGGGATAACAGACAAGTGCCGCAAAAAGTTACCTTCTTGTGGAACACTGGTTTGGTCTGTCCACCGTAACCGGATTGTTTGCGATCGTAGCGACGTTTCCCTTGGGCAGCCAAACTATCCTTACCCTTCTTATACTGTGTAACCTTGTGCAAAGTGTGCTTCCTGCACTCCTTGCTCTTGCAGTAAGTCTTCTTGGTCTTAGGCACATTCACCTGCAACGCCAACACGAATACAAATTGAAACAGAAGTACTAAATTCAGCACTCATTTCATCAAAAGAACTCCTAGATTACAGCTCAACCACAGCAAACGAAACCACAAGTGTACCGAATCAAAACCCTTTTATTTAATGGCATCATTACTATAGAAAGGGGAAATGCCAAATTTTAGATTTCTCAATGTTTCCAGTATTCAATTGCTTCAATTACAACAATATATAAGCTCTTGTGCCCTAGACAACATTGGTTGCCACGAATAAAGTTTACCCTTCGATTGCAATGTCATCAGCTTCATGTATACTGAGATTTCTAAGAGAAACCCAATGCTAAAGCCATCAATTCAAGGCCAAATTCATATAACACGCCTAAAGCTAACAATAGATTAACCAAAACAAAATGAAACCTTCATCCGTACGGGTAATATTAACAACCCATTCTAAGAGCTGCTTAGTATAATGTTAACAAATCATTCGATTCGATTAGTCCCATTTACAAACATTTCCCATAGTTAAAAAAAAAAAGCAGATCAAAAATGGACGAGCGAGAGGTAAATGAAAGCAAAGAAAGAAGAGTATAGAGTTAGGGAAATAGAGCGCTACCATGGTTACGGCTGAATCGAGTGAAGCCGAGCTGCAGCTCTTCGCGAATGGTAAAGTAAATGTGTACTCTAGGGTTTATAGTGGCTTTAAGCTTGAAAATGGATAATTGCCATATCCAACCCAAAGCCTCCTTTCATGGCCCATTTATTCTTGCATATAGATTCTAGGGTAAACTACCTATTTGGTCATCCACCTATTACTTAATTTCTGTTTTAGTCATTTAACTTTTTTTTTCAAAATCATGTCTAACATTACATTTTGATAGGATTTTAGTGACTCATCGTTAAAAAATTAATTATGATACTGACGTGATATTTTTTGATTATTTTTTCAATATTGACGAGATATTACCTTAATCTCTAATCGTTCTTTCAAAAATACAAGATTGTGACTTTCAAAACTTAACCAACTAACTTCTAATCTTAATCTCCAATATTCTTACAAAGTAAACTTACATAACAAAAAAACTTACTCAAATTAATGTTTCTATTTTTAATCAATGTCTAATTAAAGAAGTATAGTCATGTACGGATTCAACGTGAGACAAAATCGTACCACGAGAGTTATATTCTGATCCTGAAAGGATCATTGCCTAGCTATGATCATGAGCCTTCGACTCGCGAATCTTTCTGTCTATCATATATCTTCATCTTTTTAATTTCATTTTTCAATTAAATTGTATCACAAACTTTTAAAACAGAACTAAAATAAAAGTTAGATCACATAAATTTAAATTTTATTGAACAACAAAGCAAATGTTGAACAAGACTTACAATATCACAATACTTATGTCCCATGAAAGGGTGGGGTGCCTCCTATTTATAGCACAAACTTCCTATTCTAAAACATCCAATCATTAGTAATCAATTAATTAAAACAATCCCATCATTAAGTCCTAAACATAACCAACTACCACTCTAATTAATGCCCATAATTTTACTAATCAAAATTTATTTTAAGTTTTTTAAATCGAGTTGAGCTTATAAAATTCGAGTTCAATCAAATTTATTTGTTTGATTTTTTTATTCAAATTTAATTATAATTGTATATAATGTAGTGATACTAATTGTTTCAATTTAAACTATTCTCGTCCACCATATATATTTGTTCTTATTCTTTTTCTCACGTGTAAATAAAATTTGTAATATCATTTAATAAATCAAATATCATCTAAAATTATATAATATATTATATATCTATTATATTAGTTTTTCAAATGAGAGATTTTAATGATAAAGTATTGATGGGTATAAAGGAGTTAAAGAAATTGATGAGAAGAAGTTAAAATTAGTGTACCAAATTGAATAAAATGCAAAAATAAGATATTGAATTTTAAAAAGAAAATCATTACCTCCTTGTGATCAACAGGGACCGAAGGGTACAATCTTAGAGTCTCTGACAATGAAGCTTGCAAATAATCCATCTTCTTTATCTCCTCTGGTCTAAATATCAATGGGATTTCTAATTCTCGTTTGTTTTTCAACTCATCTCTTTCGTTAACAATTCTACATATCTCCGCAAGAATTTTCTCTTCGATCATCGGATTCTTTTCCAGCAACCAGAAAAACCAGCTCAACGCCACCGACGACGTATCCCTTCCGGCGAGAATAAAGTTAACACAAATATCACGTAGGAACTTGTCCAAAAATGGCTTCCCTTGTTCATCTTTCAATCTCATGAACACCGTCAACAGATCCGATCTTCGCCTTTCGTCCTCTGTTTGTAACGAAAGTTCCTTCTTCCTCGTCTTGATGACTTCTCCGGCGAACTCGTCGACACCCTTTATCGATGTTCCCAGCTTCTTTTCGGACCCTAAATCGAGGCATCTCATGGCTTTCCATATGAACGTCGGAGTGAAGAAACGTAGCAAGGTCGCCTCGGTGGCGCCTTCGAACGCTTTGGCGAATGGTATTTCGGGTAATCCAAGACGGAGACACCCGGGGTCGACGCCGAAGGCGATCATGCAAACGTTTTCGAACGTTAATATCAACAGGACATCTTGGAGATCGATGGTGGTTGATTTGTTCACTACATTTTCCAACACGGGCAAGAGCCTGGCGTGGACGAGTTCCACCAACGACTCGGTGGTCAATTGCCGGAACTTCGCCGAGTAGAGCTCGACGCTGATCGTTTTCCTCTGCCGTTGCCATGTCACATCATCGACGTTGAATATCCCGTCTACTAGAAGATCACGGATGGTGTCACGAAAATAAGGCCCTTTGGGGAAAACAGAGAACCTGGTCTTGAGAAGATACTCAAGGTTCCTTGGATCACAAGTAACTTCTCAATTTGGTCTTGATTTTATAATTTAATTACTTTATTCAATTTATTTTAATATATTTTAATTACCAATTAATTACTTGTTATAAATTGATTCCGGTAGTAATTTGTACAAAACATGGTAAAAAAGTTCATAAACAATAGCCATTTACATGTACTACACATGATAGGAGAAACTAGCACCATGCGTACATAAAAGGTTAAGGCCAAATGCAAATCAAGCTTAAGAGGTCAAATATCATACAAGGAAATGACGTATGATTATAACTAATGACGTATAATTTAATTGATTAATTTGATCGATGATATAAAATATGATTTCAGAATAGACGTATTTTTTAAGCTGATACTTGAAGAGTTTTATATTAGTCTGAGTGATTATAAAATGATATATGTTTTGAATCGGGATGAACTAAAATGAAATTTGAACTAAACATTAAATATGATTTAAAAAAAATAAAGTTTAGGTATCAAAATGGAACAAAAGTAGTAGTTTAGCTACTAAACATGTAATTTACCCTTAAAAAACACTTCATGCTAGCGTTGCCAACATATCTTCTCCATGGACTCATCGCCTGTATTAATGAAACCAATCCACGGTTATTGAACATTGATGTTTGCTTTGGACATAATCAACAACCATGTACAATAAGTTTGAGGTTGCCTTCGTTTTCGTCCAAATTATATAGAAACACTATAAAGTAGAAGACAGCGGCGAGAGGCATTTGAGTTCCTGTAAACGTGGAATGTTCCAAGCTCTTTTCAATCAACTTGCTAAATGAAAATCATTATCCGAATTAAATCAGATCCATGCACTTGTGGTCACTCTTGGCCTCCGCCGTGTTGACCCTTTCTCGTCTAAACTCCTCTCGGTAGCCGCTCTCTCCGACGACGGCGACATCGGTTATGCCTTCCGCCTTTTCTCCCGGCTGCAAGCCCCCGGAGTCTTCGATTGGAACACGATTATTGGAGGCTACTCCGGCAGTAAAAATCCCAACAAATCATTTTCAGTTTTCATTAAAATGCTCAGAGATGGTGTCTTGCCTGATCACTTAACATATCCTTTTCTGGCCAAGGCATCTGTTCGCCTTTTGAAGCCGGAACTCGGCGGAGCAATTCACGGCCACGCGTTGAGAAATGGGTTCGGGTTAGATAAGTTCATAAATAATTCTTTGATTCACATGTGTGCTTCCTACCGTGACGTTGTTTACGCCCGCAGTGTTCGATGAAATGCCGGTGAAGATTATTGTTTCGTGGAACGCTATGTTAGATGGTTATGCAATGTGTGGGGAAATGGCTTCTGCGCGTCAAGTGTTAGAATCAATGCCTCAAAGGGACGTTGTTTCTTGGAGCTGTTTGATTGATGGGTATGTTAAGAGTGGGGATTATAAGGAGGCGTTGGCAGTGTTCGAGGAAATGCAGATTTTGGGTCCCAAAGCTAATGAGGTAACGATGGTGAGTGTGTTGTGTGCTTGTGCACATCTCGGCGTGCTAGATCGAGGGAGGCTAATGCATCGTTATGTGATCGACAATGGCTTGCCGATGACTTTGGTTTTGCGTACTTCTCTTGTTGAAATGTTCGCTAAATGCGGAGCCGTAAGGGAAGCTTTAGACGTCTTTCGTGCGGTGTCTAATCGTAGGACCGATGTGTTGTTGCGGAATGCTATGATCGGAGGGCTTGCAATTCATGGATTGGTTAATGCATCTCTCGAATTGTTTACCAAAATGCAAATAGTTGGGATTGTCCCTGACGAGATCACGTAATTGTGCTTGTTGAGTGCATGTGCTCATGGTGGATTAGTGAAGGAAGCTTGGCACTTCTTCGAGTGTCTTGGAAAACACGGTATGACAGCTCCCAAGAGCGAACATTTTGCTTGCATCGTGGATGTTTTGGCTCGAGCAGGGCAGGTAGCAGAGGCATACCGGTTTCTACTCGAAATGCCCATGGAACACACTGCATCATTGCTGGGTGCTCTGCTAAATGGGTGCTTAATACACGGAAAATCTGATCTCGCAGAAATAGTAGGACGGAAACTAATCGAGTTAGACCCGGATAATGACGGTAGATATATCGGCTTATTGAATGTTTATGCGGCTATCAATCGATGGAAAGAAGCAAGAACAATGAGAGAGGCTATGGAAAGAAGGGGAGTGAGGAAGTCTGCTGGATTTAGTAGTGTGGAAATATCCGGATCTCTTTATCGTTTTATAGCTCACGACGTGACACATCCGAACTCGGAACAAATCTATAAAATGCTGGAATTCATTGTAAGCCAAATGAAACTTGATGTTCATAAGGATATTCGAGAATATCTTTCTTTATGAAACGTAATTCGAGTGCAAGTTTTTCGAAATCCAAACCTGTTAGATACCATCTCCAAAGGAAACTTTAAAGTAATATCAGAAGCAAGAAAGCACATATGTAGCACACTCCCTAAACAAAAACAATATCAGAAATATGTTTCTAATAGATATTTAAACACAATATTTTATCCGAACAATGTCGATTCGGTCTGTCCGTGTAATGTACCATCTTCTTTTCATCATTCTCAGAAAATCTGCAGGATTATAATATACCATAGCTGCAATGACAATGCTAGACATTTGAATCTTGAAGGTTGGGCTGAGCAAGCTGGAGCTGATAGGAATGGAACTGTTGAGGACTAATGGTTGAGACTTGAGAGCTGAAGCACGCTGCTGGGTTCATCATAGAAAGTGAATTGCCCAAGAACTTGCTGATGCTCCACCTGCTTAGCTTCCATTCCCCCATGCTGATACTCGATCGTCGCTCGGTGTTCTTGAATCTATGAGATTACCGAGAAACCGATCCAAATGGTAAATGTTTCGGCATCAGAGATTAGATGATCAACTAAATTAATGAACACAAGTTCGGTTGAGTTCTTTACTCACCCATCGGTACATATTGCTGTTTTCTTCCTCTAGTAGTTTCTCCTACAAGATTTTTTGAAGTCCAAAACATAAATTAGCATCTGGTTTCGATTTTTTTTCTATGTGAATAATATGAGTGAAACCTAATGAAGTGTTTAATTGAATTCATCCATCACCTTTCTACGCAAATTGTCCAGTTGTTGCTGCAAAAGCTCATTCTGCAACATCCCAAATTGTGAAACAAAACAAGAAATCTGAAGTTGAATTAACATAAGAAGAAGATCATGATGAACTAGTATATACCTTTTGCATTCGAACCTTGATGACGGAGCGTTCGAGTTCATTCTCAAGTTGTTCGAGCTCTTCAAACGGTATCGAGCTCATGTCCTCACCGGTGTAGCGTCGCATGCTCAGTTGAAGCCGACGGGTCTCTTTCCTCAACACTGCCAATTCATTGTACAAATGTTCCTACACATATACATACATATATTTATACATAAACGCCATAGAAAAGACTCTCCAGATTGAAGAAGGAAATCGGGTTTCCTTTCTTACCAGATTATCATGTTCAGGAATGCTATTTCCAGTTACCTTCAAATACCTTTCAATGATTTGTTCTATTCTCTGAAACAAGATTTCATCCATAAAACAAAGACTTAAATTCATCATGCAAAAGTAGAAGATCTGCAGAAACCCTAGCTAGTTTTTCTCTCTTTCTTCACAAACAAGGCACATATAATAGAACAAATCCTTTTTTATAACCAAAAATGAGGATCCATGGAAATGAAAAACGAAAATGAAAGACCTATACGGCTCACTGCAATACTGGCACATCTTGCCAGTGGCGGAGAAGATGATGAGGCCAATCTGAGCGTCACAAAGCACAGAAAGCTCATGTGTCTTCTTCAAGAGTCCGGCTCGCCGCTTCGAAAACGTCACTTGTCGAGTCGTCTGGTTCTCGATCCTCTTGATCGTTATCTTCCCACGTCCCATAACTGTATCTAAAGATCAAAACCAATACATACTCTCTTTATAAGCTTCTGCAAACCACAAAAGCAAGCAATAATGGGAAGTAAAAGCTCCTGAAAACTTGAAATAACAAAAGTTTGGTAGTTTGTATGAAAATCAAAAAGGGAGATTAAAGATGAGGAAGATGATGAGTTTCTCTGTGTGTAAAATCACCTATGTTGTTGTTGCTTGCTTGCTTGTTAAATCTACAGCTCCTTTGGTGTATGAACAAGGAATTTATTCTCTATAAGATATTTTTCCCCTAAAAACCCCATTCTCTTCCAATAAAACTACAAATTTGCACCTATGTTTGACAGTAATAGATTAGACCCAGCTGTTGTAGACTCTTCATATAGGTATAAGTGAACTTAAACCCACTTAGACTACTATTTAAGGATTTGAAATTTAGATATGGTTACTAACCAAATTATCTCAAATGAACGGAATGATCGTTATTTCTAAAGATTTCAGATTCGAACATTAGTGATTTTAATAAGGAGTGATTGAACATTATCATATTGTATAAGCTTTATCATGTAATTTTGATGATCCACCCCAAAGATAATTTAAAATTTTCAGAAGATACGACCGTCTTAAACACTCCTCGATACATCCCGGGTTAATGCCCTAAACAAACCCTAATTGTTGAATTGATTTACCAATGATGTTAATGGAATGATAACAATGGCACCATCAGTAATTCAATAGCAAGAAGCAATCCTTCAATGTCAAAAGGGGAAAACAAAGACAAAAAGGGGGGAGGGTGTTGTGTAAATCTTAACCACTCCTCTGAACTCATGGCCTGACAAGCAACCTGAAATTTACCAAAAATGGAAATCCCTTTTACAATGAGTTGAAAACTATGACAACCCCAAAATGGAAATTCAAGGGGATGGGACCCAGAACAAAACCCTAATGAACCCTAATATGAAACGACAAACTGTAACAAATCCCATGACATGGACTTGCCATGTATAGTTTCATGTTCCGGTCTCATATTAACTCGAGGATCAATCAATAAGAGGTAAAGTGAAAAGTAATTTTATTTTACTCTTTTTTTTCAACAATAATACTGTTATATTTTCAACTCAAACGAGATTTAAAATAATCTATGTTAGTTTAATGATAGAATCATGTGAGGTATAAAGATACAAAAATTTATGCTAATTTTAATCTTACGTGTTTTAGGATAGTTAGATTAGAGACATCAAAGGTTGAGATTGACAATAGAAAATGAGAAGATATATATTGCAAAAACAATGAGTTAATATCGATCTTCGATTTATCCCCATCCAACGGTTCTAAAAAGGTATAAATAAGTCATAACCCTATATATATGGACATGATCTACTTACATTATGTAAAACTAATAAGTTTTACGTTAATTTATAACCATTATATTTAAATAAATAATGACCTAAATTTAATTAAAATGTATATCTCATAAATAAATATCTTTTAATTCAAAGAATGTCACTTTTTACCCCAATCTCGAATCTCAAACTTCAAACCCAAAATATTAAACCCTAAAACATCTACCTCAAACACTGAACTATAAATTATAAACCCTAAATTTAAAATCTTAATCTCTAAATTCTAAACTCTAACCCTAAAAAGAAAAAAAAATATTATTTTACTGTGAGTTAAAGAAATATTTATTTTTTAGTTATAAATTTTAGTTAAATCTAAGTCATTTATTTATTTAAATCCAATGGATTTAAATTAGTATAAAACTTATTAGTTTCATATAGTATAAGTGAATGTATATATATTTCAGAGACAATATACAAAATTATTAGAGACCTTGACCCCTAAATAATAAATTTATGTTTTAACTCTATATATTTTGTATAAAATTTAAGATCAATATTATATTTTACTCCTCTTTCGAATATAATTTATGATTTAATTTTCTAAAAAAGTTAAAAAAAAATAATTAATATAATGGTAAACATGAAGCAAGGTTTAGGGTTTGTAATGATCTTTTTGGGATCCTTAGTGAAACGATAAGAGATTTTGTCGTTCAATCAGAAATTTGTCGGAAGTCTACTTATAGTAAGAAACCAAATGCATGATAGGTTTCCTCAAGAGGAAACCACTGGCCATTGCCGTTGGTCCCCCAAGGTTTGTCCACCATTATTATTTCATTGCTTGTCACCATCATCATATCCCACTTACATCACCATGAACTTCACTTACCACCCACATTCACCATAGTTACACAGACAGCATCCTATTCGGAACAAAGTTACACCAGAGTTTGAAATGAAAGAGTAAAGAGTGAAGAAAAAGTGTGGATGCGAACATGGGGGCTTACCTAAAACGGGAAGGGTTGCAGAAGGGGTTTAAGGTCACTTCAACCCTAATTTAGGGCTGAGGTTTCACATGGAGCTTGACATGCTTCTAATTAGTTTTTGCATCATCATTACCATTAAATAATGCAAAATGGTAGCATCAAAGAGATATATATATAGCTTGTATCATATGCACAAACCCTAGGAAAAAATTTCTCCTTACTTTTGGGTTTTAAATTCTAATCATGTTAGATTAATTACAATTCTCATTGTATTAGTTTCACCAAATTTACTTGTTTCATCATTAGTATATATGTGACATATATAGTTCATTGTCTATAATTCCGTGGTAAACATGATTCTTACTAGAAGAATTCGAGCACCATAATACTTGGTTCGAGAGATTTGCAAGTCTAATTAAGTTTTTACAAAGTAAATGGATCAGTCCCAAGCTAAAATCGATTAACACAATTATATGAAGTAATACTACAGTAAAACAAATTTTTAGCGATGTTTTTTTAGTGTTCTAACAATGTTTTTAAGTGCCGTTAAACCTCTCCCAACACTTGAAAAAGCATCGAATCAAATGCCGCAAAGTGCTATATGGCAAAGGGTCGAGTGTTATAGCGGCGTTTTGAAAACCAACGTCGCTATTTGTGATAATCTTTAGTGGCATTTGTTGTACCAAACGCCGCTATATGTAGTGGCAATTTTTTGCCACAAAGGCCGTGATTGGCTATTATATAGTGACATTTTCAAAGGCAAATATGTAGGCTATTAGTGTCATTTTTTTTACAAACGCTGCACTGATTTGACAGATATCAATTTCTGCTCTGTATTACCCAAATTTAATATCTTGCATCGTTATCAAATGGATTGGCCTCTTTTGGATAAAATTGAAATTCCAATGAAACAAATGGATCATTTCCATTATTAAGGCATTGATCCCTCTTAAGATAAAATAGACACACTTTTGTAATAAGTAGATGTATGAGTCCATATATGAAAGGGAACGGTCCCTTTTATCTGCAACAACTGGAAATGTTGATTGCAGATGAAGCTGTTAAGTGATAATCAGCAACTGTAATGACTGGAGCTCCGATTCGTACCGAGCAAAGCCGATGAATATTTAACCCTGTGAGCCTGCTGTGTCCATTTGGTCTGCTGCTTAAGTATTTGAGTCGTATGAGACATAATGACTCCAGTGAACGCAGCCATAGCCCATAGCAGTATAGAGAAATTGCAGGGTAGAAGAAAAAATGTAGTATTAATAAACAACTAGACTACAACAGAGCTTGAGAACGATGGCTCAATTAAGATATTGATCCAAAACAATTATTGATAATGTAAAATAACATATCTCGCATTGATTGAGTATTGTTTCTATGAGTGTTTAAATATAGTATCTGTAACTTTATTATTTGAATAATTAGAGTTAAATCCTAGTCTGATTTAAATTTGGGTTAATAAATGTCAATGACATGTAAATGAATGTGTATTTGAAAATAATATATAGTTTTACTCTATAGTTGCACATTGCTCGTATAAAACCAATCAAAATACCGAAGCTAGTATCAACGGGTTGGTTCAAGTATTAAATAGTTTGATATCACTTAGCAGGAGTTAAGTTCGAGTCTTTGTATAAAAAAATCCCGTTGGGAGACTCATACACCAAAATCAAGCGTGTGACCCGGATTGATCCGGATTAGTCAAAGCAAAGCGTTAGACCCGGATGGCAACCAAAAATATACCGAAGCTAACCATATTCTCAGTGATGCACAAAAAGAAGTTTATTTCATTATAATGGGCTTATAGACTGCTAACTTGAAGAAGAAGAAAACATTACTTGCAGAGAAGATATTGAATCCATCCATCAATGGCGGCAAAGTATTTTCTCCTCCAAGTTACACTCATGTAAAGTGGTGCAATAAAACCCCAGAATCCCACACCATACGATACAAACACAAATGCATAGAAAAACAAAGGCCTATCAATCAACCTCTCCTCTTCCTTTTCAATGGAATTCTCTTTTCTTCCATCATCATCATCATCACCATCATCATCATCATTTCCAGTACATTTTCTTTCGACTACTCCGCCGCACAGTTCCGGGTTGCCTTCGAAGTCGGTTTTGGAGAATGTCGAAAATTGTGCAGTAAATGGGATCAATCCTGAGAGATTGTTGAATGCTACAGAAAACTTTGCGATTGTAGTAATCCGTGTGATTCCAGGAGGGATTGGTCCTGTTAGATTGTTGTGGGAAAGATCCAAGCTCTCCAGGTTCTTGAGTGCTTCAAAAGATGTTGGAATGTGACCGGTTAATTGATTATTTGACAGGTTCAGAGAATGCAGCTCCGATAGTTTGCCGATCTCTTACGGAATCGTCCCGGTTAATGAATTCTCCGAGAAATCGATTCCGGTCATTAGTGTCAGAGGGATCCCCTGGTACGAAAGTGATTGCCCCTTGGTGGTGAAATCTATTGGAACCCATGAATTTGCTTGGAACTTGTTTTTCCAGACTGTGTTGTTACTTAGGCAGCAAGGAATGTTCCCTGAGAATCCGTTGCTTGAGAAATCCAGCAACTGTATCCTTTGCATTTCACATAATTGCTCGAGAAGTTGTCCCGAGAATCGATTCCGTCCCACGAGAAATGCTCCTAATTGCATCAGAGCAGGCAAATTCGAGATGGTTCCCGAGAGACGATTATCTCGTACATCTACCAGTCTCAGTGACAGACTATTGGACAAGCAAGCTGGAAATTCCCCATCAAAGAGATTATGCTGAAGCAGTAACCATGCCAATTTGGGCATACTGCAATTCCCGGGAAGCGGCTTGCCGTGCAAGCTATTGTTCGACAGATTCAAGTACCATAACGGTGAATTCCGAGTTAGATTAACGGGGACGGTCCCGGTGAAACCATTGTTAGACAAGTCTAACCTTTCTAAATGTTTCAATTCACCAAAGGAGAGCGGAATATTACCCGAAAATCGATTAGATGAGGCATTGAATCCAAGCAGCTGAGGGAGTATTTGATCAATTTTTGAGGGCAAATAGCCATCAAAAAGATTATCAGAGATATCTAACAAAGTAATCGTAGAGTTGTTTTCGAGTTCTTCAGGCAACTGACCAACAAAACAATTGCTTCTCAGGCTCAACACCGAAGAAACATTACGAAGCATCCAAGTCGGAAATTTTCCGACCAGTGAGTTACTGGATAAATCCAGGGTTTGTAGGTTAACTTGTGTTGAAAGAAACCTAGGAATCACATGATCACTCTGATGATTCAAGTTGCAGGCAGCCAAAAGCAAGTGTTGTATTTGGAAAGAAGGGTACCAATTCGGATCTTCGGTTTCGACTTCCAAATGGTAATTGTAGGACAGATCCAGATGGCTCAGCTTTGACAGATTCGCAAAGATCGAAAACGGTACAAAACCCTCGAAAATGTTATGCGAAACTTTGATGATCTCGATTTTCTTTGATACATTAGCAAGGATGTAGGTGAGGTTTCCCCGGAATCCGTTCATCGACAAGTCTAGAGTTCGAAGCGACGGCATATTGCCCCAACAACGCGGCACGTCGTCTTCAATCAAGTTAATCGAAAGATCCAGCCATCGTAAGTTAGTAAGCTCACATATTGCTGCATGACAACCAGAGACACTTTCAATAAAGTTATTGAAAAACCGCCATCGATTCCGAAGCACAAGCAAAGACCATACCTTCGGGATTATCGAGTCCACCGATGTTGTTCCCCACGAGATGCAATTCCTGCAACTGCTTGAGCTTAGAAAACAAACTCATATCCAGAAACCATTCATCCTCAGCATCTTTCCTGATGAAGTAAAAGTAAATGCCGATGACTTGAGAGCTCGTGGGACTACAATGAACACCTTCCCACCTGCAGCAATCATCGAAGAATCTAGCTCGATACGAATGCTCGTACGAATCGTGTCCGTAGCCCATTGATTCTGTGATAGCCTGAAGAGCCGTCCTCTCCTCGTCCATGCAACAATGGCTGAACCCTATGCTGCAACAGATGATCATCATCATCATAAACAAGAACAACATGGCAACGTAAGTGGAAAAAATGTTCATATTGATGTTTCAACCGTGTGTTATCCAGCAAATTGAACCTAAAATATAGAAGATTTGAACCCAGATAAGAAGTTAGAAAGTAATACAAGAGAGAATAGGGCAGAAATTTCCAAAGTCAGAGAGTCTTCTCTAAAACCCACATTTTCCATTGTTGATTGGAATATTGGTTATGCTGTTGACTTGGAAAACACCAGGAACCTTCATTTACGTGAAGATTTCATATTCGAGTCTCCTTATATGTAAATTATGACTATGTTTATTTCCGGTAAAATAGATTTCGGAAAATAAATTTCGTAAAATAAATTACATTTATTAGAAAATAATTTCTAAAAGTCATTTTACGGTGTTTGTACGATGATGTCTAAATCATTTTCTATTGATTAGTAATTTTTTTAGAAAGTATTTATCGTAAATGTTAAATACAATAAATAATATTATTTATTAGAAACAATTAATATTATCATTTTAAAAACAATTTATTTAATATTATTTATGTCCATATTATTATTAAAATATTATTTCTACAATAAATAATATAATTTATTTATATATTATTAAAATAAGAGTATGATACTATATATATTATTATAATACAATTTAATAGAATTATTAATAAATATATTTTAATAACTAATATTTTTATTAAAATGGTATTAAAATAGTATATTAATATTAAATACATAAAATAATATTATTTTGAGTATATAAGTTTTGAAGTGAAAAGTTCAAAAAATAAATTACGAAAAATAAGTCATTTTTCAGAAAATGCAAAGGAAATTATATTGACCTACAAAATGAATTACATTGAACATTTATTTTACACCAACTAAATATTGAAAAATATTTTCTGAAAAATCAATTATAGTAAACTTGTTGAGTTAATCAAGAGGATGAAATAGCCAAGAGGAGGTAAATTGACATACAAAAATTTTGGTGAAAGCTTAAGGGAAAATGAAAATCTGAACACAAGAATTTTAGAGTGGTTCGACTTTCTAAATCAAAGTCTATATCCACTACCTTAGCTATCCACACTAAGAATTTTCACAAATTCACTAATTTGAATTTGTCCTTAAGGACAAAACCTTACAACACCCTCAAGAATTATACCCCAAATTCTTGAGTCACTCTCCCAAAGATAATATTACAAATTTACAAACTTAGAAAAACCTCACAAGGAAATTATTTGTTGTTGCGTGATTTAAGTATTTCGCAATTGGTGCAAGTATACACGTCGCAAGTTATAGTATAGAATAGATATCGTCTCCACAGGGATTGGTAAAACTCTGTGTTCTAACTTCTTGCACTGTAAATAAATTGGTGATCGTAGGAGTTTGAGTTAACAAATAAAGTAAATGATCAAATAAATTAAAGTAGATTGTGATCAAATAAGAGAGTAGGTCGGGTTATCGTGAGTTGTGGTGTGATAATTGTATGGATAGTCTAGGTAACTGATTATCGTGGTAACTCGATTGACTTGACAACTAAAAATGATACAATTGCCTTAGCAATTGGGTTTCTCCCTTCAAAGCTCGGCGAAGCGTTGTTCAATGTCTTTTTGTTATCCCTAACTCAAAGAATTGGTCACTTGTGCATGCCTTGATGATACATTCCTGCATTAACCATGGGTGAACAACAACCGATCTTGCACTCCTTTTAGCCGTTGAAATCTAAATATTATCCCTAAGATGGATTAACCTTCACCAACGTTTCATTTGAATGAAGATCATGCTCATTCGTTTCTTGAATCTAGCTCCCCCGATATTAGATAAATGGATAAATTTCAAGATCATCTCCCGATTCACTCAAAATCAATTAAAGAAAGAAGAATGAACAAACTTTGAACTTAAACTGCAATCAATAACGTAAACAAATCCAAACGTTTTCACAACCACAAAAACACAATAACACAAGCCAATTTAGTTTAGTTCATGGCTGAGTGTAAAAGAAATACAAAATAAAAAATTTCCCAACATGAATAAAGAAGAAACAAAGAAGAAGAAGACGCTCAGCCTTTCTCTCTAGTCGGCCACCTCTTGCAGATTGTGATTCCTTTCTTATTTATAGGAGATGATTAGGTTAAATTGGTTATTGATGAGGAATAATTTTAATTGGAATAAAAGAGGTATTCATTCTCTTTTATCTTAATCCTCAAACTTCGTTGCAATTTAGACTTATTCTCCTCTTTAAATTCTACGTAGAAATCCAAATTTTTAGGGCTCATCATCTTTTTGTCGTGATATTCTTGAATGAGATAGACCTCTTAAAAAATCAGCTTCAATTGCCACGGTAATTCCTGTTTGCCAAGGCAATTCATAATCTGCACAAATTTATACATGCCAACAGCATCTTCAAAAAAACCAACTAAAATGTAATATCAAACTTAACGGTGAATGAAATTATGAAATCATGCATGGATTACTAATAATGCAACTAAAATTAGCTTAAATTTAGCAATAATTACGGGCAAAAGGGTAGAAAATATAGTACTTTTATAGACTTAACATCTGCACAATTCAAGAACAAAGAAGAACACTTAACAAATAAACAAATGAGTAAAAAAATGTTCTTTGAAAGCAAAAGGAATATTGAATAATGTTGACTTGATTTTGGTTCAATGTGATTACTTTGGCTTTCTCTATGGTCTCTTTCTTTACATGTGACTTGAAATTTTGTTTCATACTCCTTCATTCAATTATAGTCGTTTGGGTTGTTGTGGGAGTTAACAGAGCCGTTGAGATAAAATTTCCAGCAATAAATGTTGCCCAAACGTCTTGAGTACTGGTACTCGGGCTTGGAGTATCGATACTGCTTGTATTAATTACAAATTTCTAGTTGTTGTTGAGAGAGGAGTATCGATAGTTAGAGATCATTGGTACCAAAATAGCACACTGAAATTTGCATTTGTCAAAAACCTTAAGGGAGTATCGATACTTCTATGCATTTTTAGGCTATTAGTATCGATACAAGTATCAGTATTTTTTTGCATTTTTAGGTTATTAGTATTGATACCAGTATCGATACTATATGAACAATATCAATACTGTTTTTGTAGTATCGATATTGAAGGGTTAAAAATTGATTTTTTTTACTCGATTAAAATCTAAAACCCTTTGTAAAAATGTTTGAAATTAATTATATTTTATGACTTGAGTTTTCAAAAGAGTAAAGAGTAAAAATGGAGTTTTTGACCTTAAGAATAACTTCTATATTCGAACAGTCGAATTGAATATAAGCTTGAAATTCGAATTAAAAGTAATCTTAAAATTTCTTTAAAATATTTACTTTTGGTTATATCAAAATATCAAAGCATGATTCAACAAAACTGACGATTGCGAATAGGGTAAACTAGGTTGGGAAGGTTGCCTTTGCCTCTGTAATACTCAATCCAAATTAATTTGTCATTAGATTGGATACCGGTAGTTATGAAGAAAAAAACAGACCCTATATTTCAATCCTCATATTTATTTTGAATGAAATATTATACGGTAGATCTGTGAATTGTAATGATTAACATGTTTTTTATATCTGATGAATAAAAATGAATAATTAAATTAACGATGTAAAATAAAAAAATATAAAAAAATAAATTATCTTCAATTTAAAATTTTAAATATTAATCATTTAATTTAAGGATTCAATATATATATATACACACACTTTTGTTTTCAAATCAAACAGTTACAATGTAAATTGATAAATACTTCAACTAAATCCAAATGTTCTTAAAAAGAGTATAAAGTTCCAACGTATTCCGTTGCCGGGACTTGAACCCGGGTCTCTCGGGTGAGAGCCAAGTATCCTAACCAACTAGACTAAAACAGAAACATTACACCATCGTATAATTAGTATATTTGTAATTAACAATCATCTTTTTAACTATACTCTTTTAAATAAAGCTAAAAATTTACAAACTTTTTAGCATACATACAACGTACAAGAATAATTCCATACCCAAATAACGTACTTCTAAAGTACACGGTGCTAAACTGTAAACAAGCATCACCATATCACATAGAATATATGTTTCATTGTTTCCAACTTTTATCTCAAATTTTAATCCGAGGTCTGAAGCTGAGTATCCTCGGTGCCCATTGAATCATTGCAAATCGAAACACACACCTACATACATACTCTATAATGAAATAGTTCACATCGAATTCGCCAACGACGACCATAGAACTTCACGATCAACTACAGGTTGCAAGAATATTCAGTAGCGGTACTTTGTAGAGTAATCTTTTGGAGCAATCACCAGACCACGACCTTTCCTTGCCCCACGGTATACGGTCTCAATAATGTCTATGAACTCCTGTTTGTCCTTGAGAGCCCATCTTGTTGTTATTACCAGTGCCGAGATCAATCATAATGTGCTCGTTTCTGAAGAAGTACGTGACAGTCGATGGATCTTACAGCTCATACATTGTGTTAAAAACAGGCACTTCTGTTATGTCTACAAGATAAATCACGGCAAAGTTCTTTCTCGTTTCAGCAACAGAAGCAAACACCTCATCCATATGAAAACGAAAATAGTTGACCGCAGGTGTGAGTATAACAATAACACTATTTTCATTCCAGGGGAAGCAAAAGCAAATCAATATTCAATAAATACCAACAAAAGATGATGTTTCCAGAAATGCAGAATGTGATAAAAAGAATCAAAGTCCATGCACTCGGCCACCAAAAAGGGCAACAACCTCTACAAATCCATTTAGCCACCGAGTATAACTACAATCCATGTAAGGTACCAAGTTCAGTCTTCGAGGACAGGACCAGAGGGGATAATTAACGAAATAAGGAGAAAGGTGGTATGTTACTTCATCGGCATAATTCAGTTCCGGTAGAAGGTGGAAATTTTAGTCTTTTAATCAGAACACAGCTCCAGAATATCACAACAGTAAGTCATTAACTTTCCTTTGCACTTACTTGGGCTCCATAAAAAAACACCAGAAGCAAGTCATTATCAAAAGCTCGATCAATATTTCCTTTTGCTCACTCGAAAATGATTCTAACATCCTACTCGGCTCAAGCATTGGCTCAGGGAGAATATCTCAGTCAAAATTCACAATCCAGGTTAACAAAATGGTTCATGTAGCATTGAAATTTACGACTTGTGAGTAATTTATAAGCAATCAAAACCAGGAAAGAATATCACAAAGCAATCTAATTGACATCTGACATTCTACTAAATAGAACTCTTAAAAGAAATTAGCTATAACCACCTACCTAAAGACAACTTCATCTAACTTATAAAACAAAACCTAGCACCTTCTATTTTATTTTCCCCATTTTAGAAATTGTTTCAATTAAATGAACACTTCAGATTTCCAACAGGACGTTGCCTTCAAATTTCAATCGTACCCTTTTTCAAATTTGATAAAAAAAAACAAATCTTCAAGTCTACAGTGAACATAGGATTTAACGAATTCTTTTCCTATTCTAGTGACGAAACCTGAAATAAATTCTATGAACAACAAAATCCAGGAAGGGCAGGAAACAATTCCACTGATCAATATTAAAATTAATAAAGCATTTGAGATAGAAAGAGAAAGGGGAGAACGAAGAAGGTTACCTGCATGCAAGTCCCGTCCCAGTCATGGCCGAATCGAATGACGACGAGACGCTCTTCTTCCGCCAGGATTGCCTGATCTACGGCCAAACCTGAATGAAGAAGATGTGGTAGTAGATACGACATGGTAGGATCGTTAAACACCCCTTGTAGCCTAAATTTCCTCCATCGCTGACGAAGATATTGATTTTTGCTCTCTTGAATTTGGATATCAAACCCTAATTTCGAAACCTGAACCCTTTGAAACGTCGAGTATTGTATATAATAATATAGACGATGCATTGGCCACTTGCAAGGCCGTGAACGCCGGCGCTAAATCGATAGCGAAACGCAGCGTTTATCATGAGATGGAAATGCATGAAGTTTTGTGATATCCCTCGCGTATAAACTTTATTCTAAATCGGTCCTTAATGTTTTTAAAAATTCTCAATAAATCCCCAAATTTTCAATTGTTATTTTTGTTGGATTAATGTCAATCCACAATTCTAATAGGTATTAAAGAAGGTTTCTGATTTCTTTATGTTATTCTTTTATTTTATTTCGATGTAGTGATAAGAGATATTACTCAGATTATAATTCACATTAGATTTAAGTTTGATTATATTAAAAATGACTAATTATGAATTTGATTTTTTATAAGTGTGATTTTTAATTTTTATTTTAATACTACTCTTAAATTAATCTCATCAATCTTTTACTCTAAATCTTATATATCATTATCGAATCAATCATTGTCAGTTATCTTTTTTTGTCGTCGGATTTTCATTGATCGGTTGCACTTATCGACGCATGTAGTTGCTCAAAATTGCATGATGTCACACGTCGTCAGTAAATCCTATCGCACAAAATCATTTTTCACCCAACCGTCGAATGTTCTTCGTCGTCGATGAGGTTATATCGTCGTTGTGAACATTTGACCGTCGGTCATCACATTAAATGATAATTTTAAAATTGTTAGACACATATTTTGACAAAAAACTTTTAGGCGCCTAAAGTAAATAAATGTATAGTTTAGACACTTATTTTCAATCGAATTAGACTTGTGAAAATATCTTTCAAAGGTCACGAAATCACTAAAATTCTTTCGAACTTTCTTGAACCCTGGTCTACACCGTCCATTATCAAATAAACTTTGTCTTTGAGATATATTCTTCCTTTCATCAATGTCAACCTCTTTACCATTCAGATCTTTGAATGAAGGCCCTGATATTCAAGAAATCCAAAACATATAATGAGTTTTCATTATGATAATTGAGTGACTTTATATGATATTTTTAGAATTGAGTGACCCATTTGTAATAAATGAATGTTCATGGGTAAATTAGTCAATTAAATAAGTTTTTTAATAATATAGACAAGATAATATATATTCATAATTTCTCTTGATCGTTAACAATGCAAACACCTCCCAGACGTGACTGTTTATACCTAAAATCTCAAGAAAAAAAATAATATTTGCTTTAACCACTTAATTCACTCAAATGTTTTCTAATGACTCCTAACATTCGTTTCATTTCTAACATATAATAATCGATTAATCAAATAATTCGTTTATAACTTTTTAAAATTAGGTGATCGATTTATATTTTTCCTAATAATTGTGTGAGAAGTTAGGGGTGAGCATTCGATCGAGTCGAGTCCAAAAAATTGATTTATTCGAGTTAACGAGTCGTATTTTACAACTCAAACTTAACTTGAATTTTTTTTAATCGAGTCAAGTTTAAGAAATTTGAGTCGAGTTATTCGAGTTTCTACACTAATTTTATTATAATTATTTATAGTTTTATGGCAAGGATTTGTTCTAATTTTTTGACTTTCTCTAACCATATAAGAAATAGATATTTTTCTATTCTTTTCACATTAAAATGTTATTTAATATATCAAATACAATCTAAAATTATGAAATATATTCATAGTATTATATTTTAAAGAAAGTATTTTGAGGGTGAAATATTGATGAGAGTATAAAGGAGTCAAGGAATTGATGGGAAGAAAGAATTTGCGAACAATTGCAGTCAAAAGACCAAATTGAGTAAATGCAAAGTTAAGAGACTAAAATAAAAAGAACAATTACATTTTTAGTAAAACAAAATGTAAGAACCGAAGTTACATAGGTATTCTATTGTGGTATATGAGCATGTGTTTCAAATTTGGTTAAAAAACAAACTTAAATAAGGATAAATTGAAGAAATAAGAAAATTATAAAAAAAAATAGGGACTAAATTGAAAAATATAAAATTTGTTATCAAAAAGAGGAATTGAAAGCACATACATATTTTATAACGGTTTAGGAACATGTGGTTCAAAGTTCGTAAAAAAAGACTTAAAATAAAGGATAAATTGAAGGAATAATGAAATTATAAAAAAATTGAGGGACTAAATTGAAAAATAGAAAATTTGTCATAAAAAAGAGAAATTGAAAGTACATATGTATTCTGAGATGGTTAGGAGCATGTGGTTTAAATTTGGTAAAAACGAACTTAAAATAAAGGATGAATTGAAAGAATAAAAAAATTATAAAAAATTGAAGGACTAAATAAAAAAAATAAAAAAAATTGTTATCAGAAAGATAATTTGAAAGTACATATGTATTCTAAGATGGTTTATGAGTATGTGATTCAAATTTGATAAAAAACGTACTTAAAATAAATGATGAATTGAAGAAATAAGTAAATTATAAAAAATTGAGGGATAAAATTGAAAAATAAAAAACTTTGTTATAAAAAAGAGGAATATGATGGTATACGAGTATATGGTTTAAATTCAATAAAAATATGAACGTAAAATAAATGGTGAATTGAAGGAATAATAAAATCAAATATTAAATTGTAAAATTGTCAAAATATTTATTCAAATTTTTTATTTTTCGAACAACTCAAAATTTCAAACCGAATCAAACTCGAAACTGAATTGATAATTTGAATTGACTCAAATAACTCGAAATCGAAAAAAATTGATTTTTCAAATCGAGTTTTATAACTCTAAGAGAATCTATGTAAAATAAAAAAGTCAAACGACTCGTGAAGAAGTGCAGGGTAGCACAGCGTAGGGGATCATAGCCATTGTAATCCCAAAATCCTATCCAGTTTCCCGTCACCCAACAACTCTGCTCTTTCTTAACAGTCAAATAACAATCCCTTCAACGCCAATTCAAGCTTTCTATCCTTCAATTTCTTCTTCTCGCCTATCGATTTCTCTAGCTCTCAATGGAGACGCTAGTTTCTTCCCTATGTACAACAACCCATCGCGGCGGCGGCGCCGTCTCTGCTCTCGGCTACCCCCTGCAACGGGTCAAGATCCAAGCTCTTCCTGTTTCAAAGAAAAAGCAGAGCTTTAGGATCACAAAAGCTTCTCTTGCTAAGACCGAAGTTGCTCTTCTCAGAATTGGCACTAGAGGGAGGTACATTCTTTTGAGTTATTGAATTATAACGCTGGAAAGTTATCTTTATCTTTTTCTAATTCGCTAAAAATACTTGGATGGTTACTCTGGGTTTAATTTGTTTTGTAGAACCCAGCTTTGGTTTTGGCTAATTTTGTGAATTACTAATCTACTTTCTGTTGTGTTCGTAGTTTATTGCATATGCATATTTGCTCCTTAAAGTCATTTCAATTCACTCTATCATTTGTTGATTGTTTTGTTATTGAATATTTATTAGCTTCAGTTTATTTCAAAATACTTGCTTTCTCTCTTAGGAAGTCAAGTTAATTGATGGTCTTGTTTCATTTCGCTGAAAAATGTATCACTTTATGATTCATTTCTAGGGAAAAGAAATTAGGAGACTTTCTTCTTTCTTCTTGTTTATGGTTCATGAAAGGCACCTTGGTTAGAAAATAATGAATTTATAAAGTTGAATCTCACATGAGATCCTAGAGAAAGTAGTGATAATTTATAGATAAAAAGAACCAGAGGTTCCTAAATCAAATGTGAATCTCGTGTTTAAATGTCACATTGTGGTTCTTTGACTAATATTTTCCACTGTTACCTGTCACGGTGCTAACGTAACGGTCTACGATATTGAGGTGACAGTTCGGGGTAGTTGATAACATGATGAATAACATGGCAAATGGGGTAAATTGGTAACTAAAACATGACATATGGACAGTCAAGTCAGTACCGTGGATCGCCATATCAGTATTGTGAGCTGTCACGCAACACTGTAATGGTTAAACGACGAAAAACTTTGGACAAAAGATTACATTGAGTTTGTTTTCTGAATTGGAAAGTCAGTTTGAGAGAGAAAATTAATACAAGGATCATATTGATTTTTTTTCCAAAAGTACAAGGATCTTTGTTACCTTTTTACCTAATTTATATAAGCATTCTTTTTCACACTTCGGTTAGTCACTTATTTTACATATAGTATCCCTTGAAATTTTAATTGTGTCCATCCCATTCGAAACTTTTGTGTTGTTAACATATGTATATCCACCTTCAAAAATATTTTTGGATTCGCTCATGATTACGGATCAGGTAATTAATGAGATGTTTTCCAATCGTTTTTTTCTCCTCCATCCGTCCATAGAGAACATTTTTGTTCATTTTCGAACACATTTTCTTCTCTACACACTACTCTCTAGTACTAACATTTTATTTTACGGTAGTAATAGTACTATAGTATTTCCAACAATCTTCAATTTCTTCTCGTTATTTATATTATTTCCATGCGTAGGACAGCCCGTTAGCACTCGCTCAAGCTCATGAGACGCGGGACAAGCTCATGGCTTCTCATCCGGGGCTAGCCGAAGAAGGGGCTATTGAGATTGTTGTGATAAAGACGACTGGGGATAAAATCTTGAGTCAGCCACTTGCTGATATTGGTGGGAAGGGCTTGTTCACAAAAGAAATAGACGATGCTTTAATAAATGGTGATATCGACATTGCTGTCCACTCGATGAAGGACGTTCCTACGTACTTACCGGAGAAGACGATCCTTCCTTGCAACCTGAAGCGCGAGGATGTTCGTGATGCATTTATTTCCTTGAGCACGTCTTCGTTGGCTGAGCTTCCTGCCGGGAGTGTCGTCGGTACTGCTTCGCTTAGAAGGAAGTCACAAATACTACACCGATATCCATCGCTCAAGGTAGGCTGCTTTGCTTATGTTAGCTTATATATGGATGATCTTATATTTGATGTCTGGCAGTTGACTTGAGATGTAAGATACTGAATAGAGCATGCTGCCTTCGAATGTAAACACATGAAATTACTTCTTTATTTTCGATTCCGAATTAGTTACTAGCATTGGCGTCATTTTGTAGGTGGAGGATAATTTCCGGGGCAATGTACAAACCCGATTGAGAAAGCTTAATGAAGGAGTGGTTCAGGCAACTTTATTGGCATTAGCTGGACTCAGACGCTTAAGAGTGACAGAAAATGTTACTGCTACTCTTTCGATTGATGAAATGCTTCCGGCTGTTGCGCAGGGAGCTATCGGAATTGCTTGTCGTAGTGATGATGAAAAAATGGTATGTATAACGAATTACCTTCACTTGTTTTATGGTTGAACTCAAATCCTATCATCCCTGTGGTTGTTTTTGTGGCCTCAGTCTGATCACAAAGAGCTTAATAACTGATGAACTATGGTAGTTTTTAGTTTTGATAATCAGATGAACAAGTGCTGGCATTACAGTAAGGGCCTAATTAACTTTTCATCCCATTTTTCTGTTTGAGAATAGAAATGCTTAGAAACCCGGAAGTCCGAAGCTTGAGGTTTATTGTGTTGCAGGACTGAAAATACTGATGCGAGTTTCTCCTGTGATTTACGTCCTTGTTTGATTTGATCTGTTGCTTTATATAGGTGAATTACCTAGCTTCATTAAATCATGAGGAAACACGATTGGCAGTTGCATGTGAGAGGGCCTTCCTAGAGAAATTGGACGGGTCTTGCCGAACTCCTATAGCCGGTTATGCTTGCAAAGACGAGGATGGCAACTGCCTGTTCAAAGGACTTGTAGCTTCACCCGATGGAACACGCGGTACGACCGTCGCACTCAGAACATTTCCCGAATTTCTCTTTTATCTTCTGTCTGCTTTGAGAATACTGTTGTTTGCTCATGTGTATATGCATGTTGCAGTGCTTGAGACTTCAAGAAAGGGCTCGTACGATTTCAAAGCCATGGTTTCGATGGGAAGGGATGCCGGCGAAGAACTGCTTTCAAGAGCAGGTCCGGGCTTCTTTGATCCTGGAGTAACTTAACAACAATCAGAACTTCTGGTTCATTCATTTTCCTGAGCTTTTATTGGTTGTAATTCTAGGAAATGTTCGGTTAATCCGGATCTACAAGCGTACTATTAATGAGTGATAGTCGTAGGTATGTTTGTTTTACTGAAAATATTTTTGTATAACCTTCCTTGTAATAGTAATTAAACTATTTTTTGCTACAAGTGTGTTGCCGATTAATAATTAAACGATAAATAAGTAATATTTTTACTTTTGAAATAAGATAAATAAGTCATATTAGTACATGATTTTCAATAAAAATCATATACGCTATTGACAATTATTTGATGTAGCAGTTACTAAATTATTTTAAATTTGATAACAAAAGGTGAATAAAATTATTATTTTAGTGTAGTTGCCTAGTTGGTTAGGAAACTCGGCTTTCACCCGAGGGACACGGGTTCAAGTCCCAGCAATTGAACTTTTTTTTTCTTTGGGTTTTTCAAGTCCCGACAACGTTATAATATCATGGGTAAACTACGTATTTTGTACTTAAGCTATCAATTTTTGTGTGTTTTAATACATAAATTTTTAATTTTTTTAAAATCATATCTAACATTTACTTTTTGTTTTATTTTAATACCCTATCGTTAAAAACTTAACGGGCGGGCTAACGGGGCATAGCTTCGATGGACAGACGACCAATCAAAATAGTGGACAACGAGAGAATGAAGAGTCGACCAACATAATCTGGTTTCAAGCCCATCATACAGTGAACGACGAATATCGAAGAATAAAAAAGTCGAAAAATCCATCGTCAATTTGGAAAGAATGAGGCATTTTCTGGTGAATCAGAGGTCGGAATCATGTTCAGGGGTCGAAAAGGTGCGGGCTGAAAGGTTTGGGCTTCATTGGCCGATGGATGCGACTGATGGCGACTGTATACGCGGCGGTCGGCGAGCCTGTAAACAAAAACTAAACGTTAGGTATGATTTAAAAAAAAATTAGATATTAAAATGAACCAAAACTGATAATTTAAATATTGAACTCGTAATTCACCCTAAAATCATTACTAATATTATAAAAATGAATTACATTTTTGTTATATAATTTGATTGAATACGTAAGAACTGATGAAAACTACAGTTTCTTCAAATTCATTTGCCTGTAAAAAAAAAAGCATGCAACAATGTTTAAAATGGTTTAGGTGGCAGTTTCTTATTGGCCAAGAAATGCCTGACCAGTTGAAGTGCCTGTGTGGGTTTATAAGTTGGAACTTGATGACCAGCTCCTCGTACGGTCACAAACATTAGCCCTTCGTATTCAATCGTCCACCCACCAACTTGTTTGTGGTTGGTGTACCAAGGTGTCCATTCTTGTTTCGTCTTCAACCCTAGCTTGTTTAGGGTTAATCTGGTTGCGGCCACCGGAATTCTCCCATCGTTATCTCCGCTGTGAGTAAAAACCCGTGTATTCATGTGTTTCATGTTGTTGTTCAGTGTCGTGGTGTGTTTTGTGAGTTCATGTCGTGTAATCTTACTGTATATGATGTTATTAGATGTTTACCTGAAAACCCAGACGCGGATGCCGGCGAATACGAGTTTTTTTTATTGTGGGAAGCCCAGAAGATGGTGCATCTCCCCATAGTTGTATAATGTCACTGCAAAGACAAGGAAAGACACTTCAAGTTGATCGTACTTCTATCACGTCTTAGAAAGATGAGGACAACAATATCACATTAAAATAATAATAAAATTATCCTAAAACTTATAAACGATGGTGTTGTATATTATGTTATACATGTCTTTTGAGAAAAGAATAATCACCCCATGACAAGTGATATCAAAATGACTCTTTCACTGTTCGATTTCACGTTAAATGTCCCAATGAGTAGGGTAGGTAAGATGGACAACTATAATTAAGGACGGACGCAAGATTTTTTTTAATAAATTGTGTTTTATATTATCGAAGAAAGAAAAGGAAAACCCTGCTACATTCAACCGGGCATTCAAATTAAAAACAAAAACACCCTACAATTTAATCCCCAGCTAACACATAGTCTCCTATTAACAGCAACCTCCCTATCAGTCCTATAAACAAGAATAACCCTTATAATCTCACGAATATTATAAAAAATCACCTGCTAATCTCTAGCCAGATTCTTAAAATGCCTACCGTTCCTCTGCTCCCAAGCACAATACACAAGTGCATTTCTAGTTATCCTACGGTGGACAATTCATAATTTTGACTGTCGGAGGTCTTCTACGGAAGTTACTCTCAACCTGGCATTGGGGGCAGCCTACTACCTTACCTCTCCCTCACCCCATTGCATATGGGAAGGGGATCAGCTAATTTTTTTTTCTAAGAATAAAGACAATTAGAGATTTACCCCTAAGATACGTTGAAACCCATTCTAATTCCTCCTCCCAACACATCACACCTCTACGGAGATTACACAGTGCCAAAATAGATTATCATGGTTTCCCTTAGCAATAATCCCCATTCTCATTAGCCTATTTTTTAGTAGGGTGTGACGGTTGAGATTAGACCGAGTCAAAGATTTTGATTATCGACCCGAATATTTGAGTGAAGAGTTTAATTTTTGGGTTATCTATGTGGATAATAGACTAGAGCTAGTGTGGGAACCCAAGTATTAAGCCTAATAGATAATTTAGAGTTTTAAAGGACTGCAAGGACTAGAAGGGTAAAATGCCCAATAAAGTTATATTTTTTTCCCAAGCAACGAGAATTCTAGAAGGGGGAGCGAACTTTCTTATTTTTTTTCTTTCTTACTCATTTCCTTTGGTTTTTACTTCACAATTCAAGCTTTGGGAAAAAGACGGGAGTTAGTGGAGAAAAGGTAAACGGTGTTGGTTGTTAAATTTCCTTTGGCGATGATCATATGTGAAGAGAGAATAGGATTTGGTTTCCATGGAAGAGAGTGTAAGGAAGCATTATGGTATGGGTATGAACAAGGTGTAGAGATGGAGGATTATTTGCCTTTGCATAATTGTTGGTATGATTCATTTGTTCCCTTTAGCCTAATAATTCTAATTTTCAGAGAAGGGAGCTGAAGGTCAATCCCAAAACAAAGGCAAGAGCAAGCTTGGAGAGCAAGGAAAAAGAGGGATTTTCATCATCATCGTTTTGTAAGGTAATGTACCATTGTTCTTTATGTTCCATAGGATATAAATGATTGATGGGATGAGTGAAATTGGTGATTAACGTGGAAATCAAGTTTTAGGTTGGAAACCTGATTTTAGTTTGGAAAACATGTTTTAGGTTGGAATCCTGATTTTACTTTGGAAAACAAGTTTTAGGTTGGAAACTTGATTTTAGTTTGGAAATCAAATTTTAGGAAGGATTAGAGGAGCTTGCATGGGAGTACAAGAGCCCCAAAGGATTTGAGTGACTAATGTAAGAGCACCTAATCATATTATTTCAGGTTACTCACACAGGAGTTTCGAAAGATTAGAGCGACTCGTACGAGAGCATCTAATCATATTATTTCAAGTGATTCACACGGGAGCCCCGAAAGATTAGAACGGCTCGAAGTCAAGATTAAGGTTAAAAAAACTCGAGTACGACCCGACCCGGGTACATTAAAATCTAAAAGTTAAAATTATATTTTCTTTCCCCAATTCACTCTTTGTCGTCACTTTCCCTTCCTTATTTCTTTCTGCGCAGAGAACTCAGAAATATTTCTTTTCTTTTCATTTTCGTGCAAAAAAATGAATTTTGTGGAGTTTTAGTTCATCATTTCATCACCCACTAAAACTCAAATCTTTCTTTTTTAGTTTATGCTTTCAAGAGTTCCATTTTTTTAACTTGTCTTCCCACAATCGGTGCTTTGTAAAGTGAAGAATCTCAATTTTATTTAGGTAAGTATTTTCTCTTTTTGTTTTTGATTTTCTGCTGATCTTATATATGTGAAAATCATGTTTTTATTCAACCTCTTGTTAGATTTAGGGTTCTAATTTTAGAGAAGATTAGTAACTATCACTTAGTTGTTTCTCGGTTTAGGGTTTTAATTGTTGTTTTATCGATGCAGCCATGCCTTAAACGAGTACAATACTCCCAATTAAATTGAGCAAAGTGGTTTTACATTTTTATTAGAAATTCAAATGAGATGATAAAATTAGTAATTAGCATGTAAAAGTGGTTTTTTTTATTCGGATTGGGTCGAGTTTCGGGTGGAGGTATTAGAATTTTTTAGTCAAGTTAGGTGGGTCGAAAATCCGACCCGACCCATGCCCACTGTCTCAAACTTTCCCAACCTCCCTTTTCTTTTATTTTTCATTTCATCCTCTCCCAAAGAACCCTAACTATCATTGCTCTCAATTGTCCTTTCATCCATTAATACGATATTTTATCTTATGGATACGTTACTTCCTTTCCTTTTTTATTCTTCTTCTATATTATGGATTTTGTGTAAGTTTAAGTTTTAGGTTACTATGATCATTTTATTTTCGAGAAATGGGTATTTGATATAACCGTCGGTTTTTAATATATTGATCGACTAATTCAGATCAGGTATTATAGAGGTGAAGGCGATCATCCCAATTCAGTTTGTTCTATTCGTAATCGTCAAGATTCGAACGAACCTCTAACATTACTTAAAGGATCTAGTGTCTTATTCCACTAGGTCAATCGATTGTTGGTTTCGAGAATGGGTATTGGTGTTGATTTTACGAGGTGTTTTGAGCCTTGGTCGAGCAAATGATAATCCATGAACAAGTTGTTGAACGAATAGAAATTAGAAGACTAGTGATGATAGAATGTCAATAGGGTGAGATTTGAAAGTTCATTGGTTGACCCATGGTGGTAACAAAAATCTAAATCAAAACCAACACAACAAAGATAAAAAAGATAAGGCGAATTTCGACCTTAGATACTCTTATAATTGTTAGTACTTAAATTCGTGATCTTTAAGATTAAAATTATCCCTCGATTATAGGATATTACTTTATTAAGTCATTCTATTATTAATTATGTTCAAAACTCGTCATTTTTTTGTTAAAAATTATCTTTTATTTAAATTGGATGTTAACATGATGACTGAGATATGATAGTCGTTTGAGATTTTATGATCAAATTTTATCATATCATAGTTAATTAGTTAACATTCAGCTCAGAATATTATTCATATTCAAATGATTATTTTATAATTTTTAAAAGTTGATATTCTTGATCAAATTTTATGATTTTATCTTATAATAAAAAAACATATAAATACTATACATGTATAGCATACGGATGGGCGATTTGCATAGTATTACTAATAGTGATTAGTGACCATAAAAAATGGATTAAATCATTTAAATAGTAATTAATCAAATTTAGAAGACCTTCTAGAAGCCTCCAGGAAGAGAAAATCTCTATCGCTAAATGCCTTCATTTCCACGTTTCTCATTTTCCCTATCCAGCTCTCCCGGCTCCGTCCCAAACAACTCTAAACCCGGGGAAAAAAACATGTCGTCCGACGGGAACGTCACCGGCGGAGTCGGCGACGCTAACACCGTCGGCATAACCAATAAGCCTTTCTTTTGCTACCAATGCAACCGTTCCGTGACGGTCACAATTTCCCCTTCATCTTCCGATCCTTCTTGTCCCATATGCAACGAGGGATTCCTCGAGGAATACGAAAGCTCAAACCCTAATCAAGGCCCCGGCTTCCTCAACCCGAATCTGAATTCAGCCCCGTTCGCTGACCCGTTCGCTGACTTGCTTCCGCTCCTTTTTCCTGCCGTTCCTCATCCGTCTTCTTCATCCACGACAACTTCATCATCCTCTACTCCCGGTGACACTAATAACCCTAGTTTACCTGGGCCGACCCGGTCAGTCAGAGGTGACCCGTTCGCTTTCGATCCGTTTACCTTCATCCAAAATCATATAAACGATCTGCGTTCAGGCGGGGCTCGAATCGAGTTCGTGATTCAGAACAATCCGTCCGACGCGGGATTTCGGCTTCCGGCTAACATAGGGGATTATTTCATCGGATCGGGCCTCGAGCATGTGATCCAGCAGCTGGCCGAAAATGATCCCAACCGGTACGGGACCCCACCTGCATCTAAATCAGCTATTGAAGCTCTACCTTCAGTGAACATAACAAAGGATAATTCGGATTCGGAGTTCAACCAGTGTGCGGTTTGCATGGACGAATTTGAGGAAGGGACGGAAGCGAAGCAGATGCCATGTAAGCATCTTTATCATAAGGATTGTATATTGCCGTGGCTGGAATTGCATAATTCGTGCCCCGTGTGTCGTCACGAGTTGCCTACCGATGATCCTGATTATGAGAGGAGGGAGCAGGGGACGGGTGAAGGTAATGACGGTGGTGATAGTGTGCAGAGGTCTGATGGGGATAATCAGCCTGTTGAGAGGAGTTTTAGGATATCTCTGCCTTGGCCATTTCAAGCTCAGGGACCTGGACCTGGTCCAGGACCAAGACCAGGTGATAATACAGAGACCAGGCAGGAAGATTTGGATTGAGAATTGTGAGTATCTTTTTTACCTTTTTATTTAACAATTGTATGCAGTATTATATCCCTTTTATGGTGCTATCTTGATAAACATGGGGTTGCTGAAACTTATGCTTTTTGTTCAATATATTGTGCATATCGTGTGGTGTTAAATGGCAAATGAATTAGTTTCCCATCTAATATAGTGAAGCTGGTCATCTGAGTTTGGGTAATTTTATTACATCCCTTTTGATCCATTGTTGGTTATCACAAAGTCATACGCTATTGTGGAGAAGAAAATGAGAATGCCTTCTGAGCTTTACATAACATTGAATTGTCATACATGTCATGAAGCTCTTTTAGAGCCCTAGGACTCGCGTCATTTGGTCAACAAATGATATGTTATTTATGTGAATTTAACAGGAAAGTACTGTTTAAAATGATGAAATATATGCATTATTTCTTGAAAGTTCTCAACTGTCGAGTGTTTTCAATAAATGGTGCATTTTTTTGTTAGACGCTTCGCTTGATTTTAATTATTTAACATGGTAGCCCCATTGATTTTGGAGGGTATTATATGTGGTTAGTTTCTTAATACTTCATACCTATGTAGTGCTGATGCTATGGTTTCCACTAAAATATTAAAGAGGTCCTTCAACTTTACCATTTTATTATAAAAGTTCTTATAATTTTATTACACCCAAATAAAAATGTTATTTGTATCCAAATAATCCCCTAATCTTTAACCTTTTCCCAAATAAGTCCCTTAACCTTTTAAGTTATTCCTCAATATTTATCTGAAGTCCCAAATAAAAATCACATTTTATCTGAAGTAGGAGCTTATTTAAGTACAAATCGAAGGATACGGGCTTGTCTGAGTACACTAAAAGTATAGGGTCATATTTAGCAAAGACATATGTGAAAGGGTTCAAGTGCTTTTTTAGCATTTTAACTTATATTTTCTGAGTAGTTTTTTGTCAACAATGGATTTGTCATGTTCTATACTTATAGTTGGTATAGTTTCAAAGAATACAACAGACGCTAGCTGTGAAAGGCTTGGTTCTGATCTTGCTGGGTTGAGGTGGTAGGAACTAATATCATAAATGGTTGAATACCAAAGTGGAGCTTTCACATTTATGTATAATGTTATCTGAACTTGATAGATGTAAAAATCACAAAAGAATAGAAGGATGGGGTAAGTGAAGTAATATATGCTTTTAGTAAAATTTTTCAGTAGAAACTAAAAAGTTCATAGGACCAATTTTCTTCTGGAATTTTTATGTAGCAATATATGCTTAGGTTCTCACATGTTACACTATGGTTAACTTTCTGAAGACACTTGTGGTAAAAATGGGCTTCAAACCATTTATATTTTCTTTAGACTGTTCTTTATTTATTTGTATTGTTGAGACATCTGGCTTAATGTAGTGAACATATGAATATTGAGACTGGTTAGTAGCTTAGTAGCTTTTGATTGTTCGCTTTTAATGCTCTATGAGCCTTTTCTTGCATTCATTATGGCCAATGTCGAATGTCAATCTGATTATCTGAATGATTTTTAATACTGTTGAAGTAGGGATAAATGGAATTTGAATGACTTTTAATTCTGGCCATTGGAGTTTGGAATTTGTAGTTTCTTCTTATGGTGGCACATATGCTTGCATGGTGCACTAATACTTTCATTCATTTTCATGATGCCAGGTTTATTATTCTGCCTGCATTTACATGGTCAAATTTAATATAGCCGAGTCGTGGTTGTATAATGGAATTCTAACTTGGATTTGATTTTTGGCAGCTTAAATGCAACAAAATACCCACTTTTGTTTCATGTGACACGGTGATAAAACTTCCACTTGCAGAGTTTGGGTATGAGAGAGGTGTTAAACATGGATAATTTGAGATTAGTGTTTTGGTCTCGAGTACTATATTTACGTCGTAAAACTTAACAGCTTTGTTTGTCAAAGACAAGTTGCATTTAATCTTCAATAAATTGTTGTATAAGATTATTTGATCCCTATGTATTGTCTTCCCCTTTATATCAGCAAGCTATTACTACTTGAAAATAAAGCCGCTGTTCCGAAGCATCGTTCGCAAGACATAATGGAACCACCATAGGTAAGTCTAGAAAGGTAAATGTTTTCTGTCTCCCAAATCTTGATCCCGATTAGTCTCAGTTGCTTTTGTGGTATTTGATTGGTTTCGGTTTTTGTTGAATTCCGAGTTTTAGTTCAATTGAAATGGTTATAGTCTTCTCCAAGGTCAGGCCTTTAGGGCCATTGTTGAAGTAAACAACTGATGTGTTAATCCTTTCTTCGCTGTTGACCGAGTTTTAATTCAATTGGTATCGTTATTTTCGTAACAATTTATGTATTCGAACTTGTTTACGTTCTGGAGGACTATGAATAGTTTAAGTATGGGATTAGAATAATTTTGATCTGAATTAGTCGATCAATAGATCGGATACCATTGATTAATTCAAAAAAAATAACTTTGATCTCAGAAGGATTTAATTATTGTGGTACCTAATTGCATCTCATTTTCATGAAGGCGGCAAAGGAAAAGATGGAATTTACTGATGACCAGCCGGATCCCCATGGCCCCTCTCATTAATAGTACCAAAACCAAGTGGACCACGCTCCACTTGTTTCACATGTTGAAAATTTTGTGGCTTCCATTGTGTTGCCCATCACAATCAACTTGTATCTGCATATACATATACGTGTAGTGGTTTTTCTTAAAAAAAACATTTTTTAATATTTTTCTTGAATTTTTTAAAAATAAAATCAACAGTTTTCTGTGGTAATATTAATTCTGTAAAGTATTTCGTACTATAAATTTTTTTTTTCCTTATAAATAAATTTTATTAAATAAAGAAAATAGTTAAAATTATAAGAAGAGTAAATTAATCATATAATTCGGATATTTTTTCTTAAAACTATCGATGTGTATAAACTAGTCACTAAAAAAATTAAAAAGGGTCATATGAAACAAAGGATTAAAATTTCAATTAAATAAATAATAAATTTAAACAAATATTATTATCTGTGATAAAGGATAAATATCAAATATATAAGATTCATTTACATCGCATAAAATTTTGTCTTACATTTTTTTAGGACAGTTAGATTGAGGGAAATCAAATGTTGATATTAATTCTTTGTTTTTTTAAGTGAATATCTTTTCATTTTTTACTGTTATTCTCATCATTTAATAAATGTCATTTATAAATATAGATGTAACCTCAAATCTAACCATGAAAACAAACATATATAAGAAAAGATAAAAATATATATATATAAATTGCATATAAAAAGAGTAAGGGGTTGTTTGTTTACCTCTTAATGGAACTGTTCAGCATTCAGCGTGTTTGTTTCTGACCTCTGAATAAAGACTGTGCTGAATGATTCAGCACCAAGGAACATTCTGAATGATTCAGAATTATTATCAAACAGCATGTCACATTCAGAGCTAATTCATACAGAACCTCTGAATCATTCAATATTTGAATCATTCAGTGCTTAATCATTCTGAAGTAAACAAACAACCACTAACTAAATAAAAATGAGAAAACTCATATTAAATGAAAAGAGAAAAAAAATAGCAATAGATGATCATTTTAAGATTGATATTGTTGTGACAATTAAGAACATATAAAAGAATTAGAAAATGAAGTATAAAATAATGACTAGAGGAAAATTATAGTGACATGCGCACACATCTTATAGATGTAATTGTTCGAATCTAATATATCTAATATAAATATTATTCTTTTTACCATTAAAATTACTTATTAAATTCCTATTTGAAAAGAAATTGTTTTAATAATATTTAACTAAATTGATATAATGTGGCTTTGAGCACCAAGTCTATTCTTTTATATATAACATGGATAATAAAAGGGAGAGATTTAGTTATGATTGACAATTGGCTAACCAAAAGTGACATCATTTACGCCGAGATTATTAACTAAAGTGAAAGATTAGTTAATTGAAAAGTTTTTGACCTTAGCCTAACCACTTTTGTTTTATTGTTCTTCTTATTACTATTTTAATATAACGTGTGGCCCATAAGGCTAATAATGTCATAACAAGCTTTAATATTTTTAATTATTTATATACAAACCAAATGAATTTAATGATTTTTACGCAGGAATTTAAATTACAGGGATTACTTCCTATTATAGATGCGTATATGAAGACTGCATGTAAATACTGTTTAATATATATATATATATATATATATATATATATATATTTATACATGCATTGCATTTTATCTTTATTTTTAATTTTCTAATTGTAGGAGGTCTTCCACGGAAGCTGCTCTCAACCTAACGTTGGGGCAGCCTACTACCCTACCTCCCCTTACCGATTGCATATGAAAATAGGGTTTTGTTGTTGTTGTTGTTATTAGAAATCATGAATTCTAATACAATATTTATAAGAGTGTTTGTATTTGATAATAAATATTTATATATCTTTATAAATATCGCGTTTAAATTCGAGACTTCAAGATACGATAACAATTTCTTAACTACTAAAATCATTTCATTTGCACTAATTATTTATTTTTTAAATATTATATTATGATCATTCACATTATAAAATAAAAACTCAAACGTTAACTTTACAAACGAAATGACAAAAAATAAAAGAAAATTGAATTGCTTTGTATTAATCAACAGTATAATTTTTTTTAAATAATTATAAATCCGATACAGACGAGAAAATCTTAGTTTCGGGAGAAAACCCACTAAGGAAGCGAGGGAATTGATTTCTGTAACAGTCTCTAGTCCCGCCCATGTCAAATTCAGATGATGTTGCTGCGAACAAGTCACAAGCGCCGGCCAATGGTTCTCTCGCCGTGAAAAAGCCTCCGACCAAAGACCGTCACAGCAAAGTGGACGGTCGTGGCCGGAGAATCAGGATGCCGATCATTTGTGCGGCTCGTGTTTTCCAGCTGACTCGTGAGCTGGGTCACAAATCCGATGGTCAGACCATTGAGTGGCTGTTACGCCAAGCCGAGCCTTCCATTATAGCCGCCACCGGTACCGGGACAGTTCCCGCCAATTTCTCCGCCGTGTCGGCTTCTCTCCGCGGTCGGGGAAATTCCGCTTCTCTACCGACGACGACGATGTGTTTGGACCATAAGCCTTTACTTGGTCCCACCGGTTTTATACTCGGAAAACGGGTCAGGTCCGACGATGATAACGCCGGGAAGGACGATTCCGGGACGATCGCGATGGGACCAGATATGGGGTCCATTTTGGGATCTGCGGGGACACACATGGGTGGGTTCTGGACTCTTCCAGCAAGGCCCGAGTACGGTCAAGTATGGAGCTTCGCACCTCCGCCGGAGATGGTTGTCCAGACTGCTGCCGCTGCGGAGTCTTCTCAGCAACCTACTGCAGCCGCGTTGTTCGTTCAACAACTGCAAGCTATGGGAGAAGCGTCGGCGGCGAGGGTTGGCAATTATCTTCCCGGTCATCTGAATTTGTTAGCATCGTTGTCGGGTACTCCGGGAAGTTTGATTCGGAGAGGCGAGGGTCCGAATTGAATTTGGGTAGACCACTTTACCCTTGTTGCTTGGAAGTGTGTGTGTGTGTATATATATATATGTGTTAGATTGCATCAAGATTTGTATATGGTTGCTGTTTCATGTGTGGATGTGTGAGTTGAATTTTTGTCAGAACGTTAGTGTCAGTCAATTAGGTTTTTGAAGGGGACAATTTGGGTCTTCTTATTAGGGTTTTTGTTTAAGACATCTACCCCATGATTGATTAGGGTTTAGTAGGGTTTAAAGGGTTTAAGAAACAGGGTTACGGAGATTTGAGGTTTCTTTTGAGTTTGGGGATTTCCAGAATTGTTGAGGTTCATTTTCCATGTTGAAATAAGGTTTGTAAACTTGAATTTCAAATGCTTTTCAAGTTCCTTCATTATTCATAAATCTAGCAATGTAAGTTGAATCTCAAGGTTCTGGATTGTGCTTTTTTTTTTGCATAATCGGGGTCCGAAACTTCGAGCTGCTAATGGCGTTCGAGAAGTATTAGTTTCATCTCTATTACCATAGGCATTGAAAATCTAGCACTGATGAGTTGAATCTTAAACTTGTTCAGTGTACTTGATTTATGCATAACTGGAATTTGATACTTTGAGCTGCCAATGGTGTTTGAAGATGATTAGTTTCTCTGCTACTGTCTGGTGTTGCTTTAGCATTGAAAATATAGCAACGACGAGTGAGTTGGATCTTAAAACTTGTTGATCGTGCTCAACTTATACATAATTGGAATCTGAAACTTCGAGCTGCTAGTGACTTTCGAGAAGTATTAGTTTCTTCCCTGCTACCATAGGCATTGAAAATCTAGCAATGATGGGTTGAATCTTAAACTTCCTGGATGTGCTTGATTTGTGCATAACTTGGATTGGATACTTTAAGCTGCTAATAGTGTTTGAAGATGATTAGTTTCTTTGCTGCTGTCTGGTGTAGCTTTAGCATTGAAAATCTAGCAATGATGATTGGGGCGAATCTTAAAACTTGTCGTTCGTGCTCGACTTATACATAATTGGAGTCTGAAACTTCGAATCGGTAATGGTATCTGAAAATTATTTAGTTTCTGTTACTGCCCTGCTTTGCTTAGCACTGAAAATTATTTAGTTTCGATTGAAGCTCTCCTCGAACCATTTCTGATGATTGAGCCTTTCTTGAGTCAGTGAGAAAGCTCTGCTTTAAGCCTTTCTTCAGAGTTCTAGCAAGCCCTTCTTTGACCGGGCATTTCTGTGAGTTAATTATACACCCATTTCTCGATATTTTCTGCCACATCTCATACCCATGGTACCGGGTCTTGACCACGTAATCAAAGGCTTTAAAAGGTCTCTGAAGTCGATACAAACCCTAATCCGCCCGTTCTTCTTGGTCACTGAGGCATTGTTTGCCAACCAATCGGGATCTTTCTCTTATGAAACTCACATCCTTTAATTTCTGCACTTCTTTATCAATCATCTTTTATGAGGAGTGGCTGAAAGTGTCATTGCGCTTGCTTGACGGGCTTAGCATCTGGTTTGATATTAAGCCTGTGGATTGCGATTTCAGGGTCTAGCCCTGGCATCTCAGCCTAATCCTGGATCCTCCGCATATGGTTTTGCTAGGAAAGCAGGAAGCACCCTTACACTTCCGTTCAGCCAGGGTGCGCTAGGAGCTTTTTCAAAGCCAGGTTGAGAAGATGGTTTTTCAACAGGGGTCGAAGATGTAAATTAAACGAACCTTTCTTCTGCAGGGCTTACGACGATATCGGTCTCGCTCCGTAGTTCTTCCTCTCCCCGACGTGGGTACGCATAAAACCATGGCCTGTAAGTCGTTTGACAACGCCTGGGTCTGTAAGCAGCTAAAGCTCCCTCACTGTCGTTTAAACCCTACCTCACCAGGTTTCTCAGATGGAGTTACACTATACCAGGGATCAAAGATGGTTTTCTAACACCATGTTGTATCTGTTAGTCCGGTCAGCCCTCTCTTCTGCTTTCAGTAAGTTGATTGTTTCTGACGTGCTCGGATTGTGCTTTGGTTTACGTATTCATTCATACTGAATCGTGAATGCCGTCGATCGAGATACGAGTCCCGTTTTTAAGCGGTAACACAGTGTCAGCAGCAAGCTTACAACCGGAACAATACAGACGTGAAGGAAAAACAACAGAAACTAAGATTGAAAGATTAAAAAAGGATGCCCCCATGCAGGATCGAACTACAGACCTTCAGTTTACAAGACTGACGCTCTACCACTGAGCTATAGGGGCTTCCCATGCCTAATGTCTATGGTCCTTGTTAAATATATATATTTTATTAATGCAATGACAAACAACATTGTATATAAATGATGGTTATGAGTCCGACACTTGGATATGGGAATATGGCCTCTAGGATCCTTCAAATATATAGGAAAACTTAGAAAATCTAACCTTACTCGAGTCAGATACATGCCCATGTCCGACGCATACACCTGGTCCTCTTGCTTTTTTTTTTTTTTGGGGGGGGGGGGGGGGGGGTTCAACAGTAACCTGGCACAATATCCTGGTTGTTCCTTGTTACACTGTTAATATTCGGTGAAAAGCTCAAAGCGAACCAGCTAGACCAGGATTTCTACTCTTGATAATTTTTTACTCTGCACCTCAGAAATAATTGATCTTTCAATTCTTTTAGCGGCACATTATTTTCGATTTTCCTAAAATCATCTGATGAGCATATGTTTCTTTAGTATTATTTGAAGATCTAAAAGGAAATGTGATCTTATAATTCTAACCATTTGATCTCGGATATGGTATTATACAAGATGGAAAGTTATGTATTTTCTGGAACTGAGAACTAATTCGTGTGTTGATGTTTATGACGAAGGGAAAATGCAATTTGTTATCATTTCCCTTTTTCACCACTTCTTGTAGAATTAACTCTTGTTCTGATATCCAAATTTAAATCTCCTTTTAAGGGCAGTGTTCACACTGATTATTGTTGTACATAGGATGCTGGGGCCATCGGGAAACAGATCGAGGATGGGGTAAGGTTGATGGGTCGTGGTGCTGAACAAATCAAATGGCCAATTCATCTTGAGGTAAATGATTGTTCTGAAACCGTTCTTGCTATATGCTACTGATTTGACTATAATATAGATAAAGAATCATTTCTTAGCTGTTTTTGGATTTAACTTATGTTAGTTTAGAATGCTCAACTAATGTATTTATTAATTATGGTCGGACGATTATCGGAACATAATTTGGTATCATCTTTTCATAGTTTTCATCATCAGATCCTTCCATGGTTGCAGTACTGTTATGCTAGTCCTAGTTAAAAGATGTTCTATGATGTCGAAGTGAAAGTGAGCGAGAACCTTTGGATTCTGAGAGTTTGAATCAGTCATTGTTCCTGTATATCCTTTTTTTAATCCGAACCAGTCAAAAAGTTGGTCTTACCATTGAAATTTACAGGTCTCAAGGGTGACTGTTAGAGCAAAGGAAGAAGCTGAAGCTGCCGGTGGATCTGTGAGGAGAGTACACTATAACAAATTAGGGTTGAGAGCTCTGCTTAAACCCGAGTGGTTCGAAAAGAAGGGAAGGTTGCTGCCGAAACCAGCCAGGCCTCCTCCGAAGTTGAAGGATAAAGTTGACAGCATCGGCCGCCCGCCTGCTCCAACAAAACCTATCCCGTTTTTCACCGAAGAGGAGCCAATCTCCTCTCCTGCGTAGTAGACAGGTGATCGCTTTGTTCGTTGAACCACAAGATCGGCATTCGAGTTATCATGTTTTGGAGGAAAAGAATCAATACATTGCAATCCCTTTCCATGTCAAGAAATAATTTACAACTTTGTTCTCTGCACTTGGTTTGATCCACATCGATCTTGAAACATTAGTGATTTGTGTTTTGCACTCGGTTTGAACCTGGTGCTAGTTGAGAAGCCAGAAAACACGAGTTGAATCTGCCTGGACATCGCCCTCGTTGTAAACGAACCCGGTGCAGCTGTGCAAGAGTTGAATGTATTTTTTGCTTTGAGAAATGATAATGCCATTAACAAGAATCTTTATTGCAGTCTGAATTTCTATTAAATTAAAATTTAAAATATAAATCTTAAAACTTTATATAATTTAAATTTATAAATAAGAACTTTAATCATGAGTTTAAAAGTGTAAAGAAGTAAGGGGAAAATTGCACATCAAAGCCAAAGTCAGGGGATAAAAGGTACATTAACCCTTAAATCCAGCAAAGGGTAAATTACTCGTTAAGTACCTAAACTATCAATTTTAATTCATTTTAGTACCTAAACTTTCAAATTTTTATAAACCTTACCAACATTTAATTTTTGTTTCATTTTAGTGCGTCACCAAAATTTAACCGTATTGCATTTTTATGAGTAAATTATATCATTCATCACTCAACCATCTTCTCACTCCTATTTTGGTACTAAAGTTTAAATTTTTTTAATTTAATTTCTTAACTTTCAAATTGCTAATATTTTAATCACTCTATTTTATTTTATTAATAAATTTCATGACATAAAATTTTACAATTTAACCATAACAAAGGTACCACAGGTGAATCATCCGTTAAGTTTTTAAAGGCGAGGTACTAAAAGAAAATAAAAACTAAACATTAGGATGGATTTAAAAAAAATTAAAAGTTTAGATACTAAAACAGACCAAACTACAGTTTAGGTACTACATGCGGAATTTACCTTTTAATAAAATGTGACAAAAATCAGGAGTGTCACATTAGGGCCACCGGAGTGACCCACTGTAAAAATATCAGAAAATTTAAAACTTTAATTAAAACATGCAACTTATAAAATTTATCAGTATTCAGAAGTAAAATAGATTTTCAGACTCGTATATAAACCAAAATACAATCTACATGCCCCCTATCACATGTACCATACTCTGCAAGAAACGCCGAAAGAACTCCCTTACTGATGTTGATAGTTGCACTGGTACGATTCTTTTAACCTGCACTGGTGAGTAATAGACTGAGCTTCGAAAAGCTCAGTAATACAGAACTACCAGATACTGCTGCAAGACATGCCAATAAATGGAAAGCCATATCATTTCTTATTTAATCAAACATATACCGGTTTTCGGAATAATCTGGAGTTCCACTGGTAGTTCAACAAATAGAAGCCATGAATATCTCAGTTCATAGGAAGCATTCATAGTATCAAATTTTCAGGAGGTCAAATAGGATGTCTAGTGTCCAACAGTACGATAAAATCATAATAGTACACTAATCAAATGATATTTTAGTAAATCCCATAAACCATACTGTAGTGGAGCTTTTTAAACTCGTGTTTTAAAACCATCGTATAAAGAGTTAACCTAAGAGAACATCTTAAGGACTGAGAGCCTACCCAAGAAAATTCGGGGCCACGGGGCCTACCTAAGAACACATCTTAGGGCTACAGGGCCTACCCAATGATCTCAGGGCCAGAGCCTAAACACATTAGGTCCATATTTTCCAGCTTGATCAGAGCTACTACTAACAAATTTGTATCTCCAATACAATACCGTGATACAAATCCATAAGCCATCACCATTAAGTCGGTGCATCCATAAAACAGTAACCATAGATTTCAGTGTACCTCATGTTAAAACAATAAAGCAATTTATTAAAAAAAATAAGGAACACACTAGAGAAATCCCAGTACTTATCAGAGGCATTTTACAGTTATCAGCATAGATAACATGAAACTGATGTCTTTTTATCAAATCCCAGGCATGAGGTTCTATTAAAAAGGAGTCAATTACTACTCGTTCAAAGCAAACATTAAAATCGATACTTTAGAATTCCACTATGATTCAAGTGTATCAGGAAGGTGTTCATGAATGTTTATACAGATGAGTTATAGATTCATATTTATGGAGAGTAATTTCATTACTCAACAAAGTTGGAATATACAAAATCCTTTGCATTCGAGTTAATTGTGTGAATCAGACATGATCGAAGGGATTTGAGTCGATAAAGGAGAAACAAAGATTCAGGACATTTACCATTTATATTGATCGATCAGATTATCAAACAACTCCCAGAACTGATACCAGTTGATTGGTCAAATCCTTGCCTTTCAAAAGTACTCACTCTTTAATACAAAATTTATTATCCAAAGATTCTCTTCAGAATCATCACTGAATACAACTTAAGGTAACGAACAGATATTCCACGGTCGTTATTTCATTTCTACATTTCAACGATATTAGGAAAGGTCAACGTACTTGATTTTTGGTTGATGATCCATAGGAATAATACACTATGCAAACTCATCAGAGTTTCCAGACTTATCCAAATCACTTACTTAATCTTCAGTCATTGAGGTTACTTAGTACATTTAGCAATCAAGTCTATCCCAATTTCTTCAGAGTTTTCCAACGTATTTCAGACATTTCTGAATTTCAAATACATATTGTACTTCCTTTCAATTCAATTTAATCATATAATAAAGTCATTCTAATATTCGTGGTTTATTTGTCTCATGAATACCCACTTCTTAGTAATGTATGAGCTCTAGAGTCGAGCTGAGTCAAGTACTTCCAGAATTATCATCGTTCCAAACCTTAGAAGACGAACACACATTCAAATGATATCTATGTCGTTCAGGTACTGACATATTATTATCGTTGATCGACCCGCTTAAGGTGTTTTCCATAGCTTTTTAAGGGTAATGCCACAACCATATTTATTTGAATTCCTTAATGAACCCAAAACATTTACTTATTCTTGGTCATAAAGGTCTTTTGGTCATTCTGATGCTCGATTTTATTCTATTAATTTCAGAGTTCGAGGATATCCAATCATTCATGAGCTTAGTACTATTCTTGGGTCATTTCCATTACAGGGTATTCTGGTCATTTTACAGATCTAGTGTATCACAATCATTTTCTTCTGTCCGATCTCATTATCGAATTCAAACTTATCATTATTTTAGTCATTTCGAACAATTCTGACAAAATATAACCATCGATAAATTATTATTCTTAATGTACTTACTCAAGTCGGAGATTTCCAGGTTAAATGCCTTTTCAGATGTTACTAACGGATTATCAGGAATTTTTCATACAAAAATAGGATCTCAACAATCAAATCAGTAATTTATCGGTTTAAAAACAAATTCTCATGTTACTTCCCCATTTAGAGTTAACTTGGACTATTTTTACCTCTCAATGGCATTTTCGTAATTTCTTAACCAGATACTTTCGGTATTAACTCTTAACAAAAATAATTATACTTTAGAGATCCAATGGTTAATTGCTTTTCCGAACATTCTTTGATCTCGGAATGATTCATTAATAGACTTCTAGTATCTTGCATAAACCCTATTGGGTTAAAACCCGGTTATCCAAATTTTCTTAGCAAACTAGCATTTCTTATACACATCTGTAGTTATATCAGATCAATATATCATTTCAGAGTTATTAGTCAACTTCCAGATACAATTCTTATCATCTTACAACATAAGGGTATTTCTGTAATTTTACCCTACCAGAATATTCTCCTAATTTTCCATCCAAGTACCTTTGATGAAATAAATTATATGTTACAGATCCAAGTTGATTCCTTTATCACTAAACACAAAACTTGTAATTTTAATTCTAACAATCCATCAATTTCTTATAAAAGTCATCTGAACCATAATCAGTTACCGAATTTTTATCGTATTCGGATCGAGTGTAGAAATTAATTAACTACACATACGAGACCAACATTATCTTATTCATGCATTTACCAATATTCACATGTTCCATAAAGCATAAAGAGGTAGTAAAGTATTACCTCGATTTCTGTGCAATACTGATCGACCATTAAATTCCATTCGAACACCCTCGATCTTGAAATCATGTTCCAATAATTCCTCAGATGCATAACTATAAACATTTCATCAAAAAAGGGGCTTAATTCTGAAAAAAGGGATCGAATCGAGTGATTAATCAGTGAAAACCAACTTATCGGGTTTAAATTTGGCGAAACGGACCCCAAAAATAAATTCAGAACGTAAAAAACATCAGAATAGGTATACACAGTCAAAGTCAAAGGTCGTTCAACGCCCGATCAATGCTGGTCAAAGTTCTGGTCAACAATGGTCAACGCCGGTCAACGGTCAACAATTGACCGTTTTACACAAACATCACCCTAACCGAAATTAATTACAAAATTAACACCCTGTAGCCAGACGATGCCCACTCTCGGAGGGTGGCGCGTGTGGCGCATGAACAGTGATACGGTGTCGGAAAATTCCTGGAAAAATTCCTAAAAATTATTTTAAGTGATTTTGAGACAATTACAAAGCTCGGTTCACAATTTTGAACGGTGGAGAGCTCGATTACAACAAATCCAAAACTTTGACCGTTTCACCTCCTCACGCACTACCGCCGACGGAGACAAAGAGGACACCGGCAGACTCGGAACGGCACAAGGAACACGATGGTGCGGGAGGTGTTGAAAACAGATGGCCAGATTGTCGTGAATCGACGAAAAACTAACTGAAATTGAGTTAAAATCGACGATACTTCCGACTGAAATTAACGACGAACGGCGCCGATTCACAACGAGAGGTTTGAGGGGTTTTGTTCATCGGTCGACAACGAATACGATGGTGGTTTCGGTTCGTCGATCGGAGGTCGGACGACGAATAGATCGGAGTTGAAAGGAGGGTTGAGGGGAAGGGGGAAATGATGAAAACCATCTGCAGAAACATACGGGGAGAAGATGTAATAATTCTCTCCAAAAGAAAAATGGACAACCCATGGGTTTAGTCACTGAATTTCTTGCACTTTATAAAACAGTCTGCCAACTTTGAAAATTTTCAATTTAATCCTCAATTTTCTTCTCAAAATACCAATTAAATCCACCACTTTAAAATTCTAAAATTTAGCCCCTAAATTGGGGTGTTACAATATGTGTGTGTATGTGTAATTGTATATATTTTTGTGTTAGTGTTTTTATGTTATTTGTTGGCATTAATACATCAGAGGGGATTGTTGCATTGGGAAAGTTTAATGCTCTTCATATTGGTCATAAAGAACTTGCAATTCAAGCATCTAAGGTTGGAATCCCATATCTTTTGTCGTTTGTAGGAATGGCCGAAGTCCTTGGTTGGGAGCCTAGGTAAAGTTTATACATCTACAATTTATAGTACTAAGTTGTGGTTGCAATTACGAGTGTTGCGGATGTTACGACGTGATTTGTTTCCTAGAAATAACTGTTTTTAAATTGCGGATGCAGTTGCGGTGTCGCGATAACCTTGAAAAACATTATGATGCAGGCCTCAATTTAGTACTATGGTCTACATATGCTTATAATGTTTGTGTAATGGTTTAAACCTTTAGGCTTTTTCACTTGATCCTAATGAAGCCAAGTATGGGTTTTAAACAGGCCTCCCACAGTTGCCCGATGTGATCGTGTTCTTTCCTCTTGGGCTCCGAATTGTGGTAATGCGGCTCCCAAGGAGTTCCAGGTACAATTTACCAGTGTTAGGCATCTTAGTCCGATGGAGTTTGTGGAGAAGCTAGCAAAGGAGCTGGCAGTTTGTGGAGTTGTAGCAGGTACGCTAAAAGCTGTATCGACTCTTTGATAGTATTTTTCTCAAAATTATCTGGTGAAATATTAATTCATCAATGTTAAAATAGGTTGTTTTAATGGCTAATTGTCACAGGTGAAAACTATCGCTTTGGTTATAAAGCTGTTGGTGATGCTTCAGAATTGGTGAGATTGTGTGATGAGTTTGGTATGGCTGCTTACATTATAAATTCTGTCATGGACAGGCACCAAGATGCTAGAAATATGAATCGTTTAGATTTAAAAGACAGGGGGCAAGTTTCGTCTACCCGTGTTCGACGCGCGCTAGCCAAAGGTGACATGGAATATGTATCGGAGCTTCTAGGTCGCCCACATCGCTTGTTATCTATGATTAAAGATTGGGAAAACTTTACTAGTACTAGCAGTAAACAAATGGTGTCAGCTCCAAAATCTTCTTTGCTAAATCTACCACCAAAAGATGGTTTTTACGAGAACTGTGCTCTTTTATTTGGAGAACATGAACCGGTAACATGTAGAGTGTCTATTGACACAACGCATATCCATCTAGAGATGGATCGAGTAGATTTTGTTGATGAGTATCACTCTCGAAATTCTCAGGTCTTGGGTATTGAATGCTGCAAATCGAGAGTTAATTTTGCTTAGCTTAAGTTATCTTTTAGTTCATTTCAGGAAAGTACTTCATGGGTGAGAACTGTCATCAGATTAATTTTTTTTGAATATATATTACTCGTTTCGGACTATTCAAAAGAAAATTATTGAATATAAGAGTCATATCCCATTCTTAATGTTGGAAATGACTTATGTATTCCTCTCCCAAGAACAGCTTTGGTTTCATTTCATTTGATTGTTACTTGATCGTAACGGTTTCATTTCATTTGATCGTAACGATTAGTTAGGTGACTCGAAAATGTTTCTGAACGAGTTTTGAGTTGGATTGAACGAGTTTTATTGGTGCCTATGCAGTATTGGCGTGTGAATCTTCAAATTTATTGACTGGTTTTGTTTCTCATGAATCTTCAGCATACTTGCAGTTGATTGATGCTGTTTCCTGGTGCATGCTTCTCTAAAGTAGACTCAACTATCACTAGCAATGAGGTACAAAATGGGTCCAAATACGAAAAATATGCCTGTGGATGTTGACCGTTAGCAAATTTATCAACGTACAAGATCGGTTATCGAAGCGAAATTCCTCGAATAAAAGGCCAGAACTCCATTACAGAAAACACTTGAGACGTGATACAAATACAATAACAACCTAATAGGTCGTATACAACAAGCGAAAACCGAGTCTTATTCCTAAGAGATAATTCATCGACAGAGTCTAACGCTAATAAAAGAGGGTGCCAAAATGGTGTCCTAACCATAAATCTGCCATATTTAACATTTTCATTTTCCAGAGTTTCCCTATAAAAATACATTTAAATTCTCTCCGTGTGGCCTTATTAAGAACAAATAAATGACATACACATCTTGTCCTAGCAATTAAGCAATTCTTACTAAGGCTGATTATCAGCACAAGCAAATAGTCTTCTTCCCTTTTGTACATTTTGCAACTAGACATCATTGTAACATTACCTATGAGCGGATGTATGTGGCATCGGATATGTCACGGGTGCACCCGGAACCACTGCTCCTGGTAAAGTCGCTCTGACTTCGTAAGCCATATATGCCGGTGCAGGGAGATTCACTGGTGTGCCAACTGCTGAGACAAGGGGACCTCCTATAGGTTGCCCTATAGTTGGAACACCGTGCACAGCGATACCGGGTGGTGCGGAGGGATGTCCGGGAGGCTGTTTGGTTGGTTTTCCAGCAGAACATCCGGCTACAGGGCTGTTTGATTGACCAGTGATCGGACCTTGGGGTGATGAAATGTCTCCATTGCCAACACTGGTAATATCATGGATGCTGGATCGCCTCCTATCTTTGTTCATTGAGTTCAATCTGATGAAATATTTTTGAGCGTGACTCGCAACTTGGGTTGGTGTTCTTGTGACCACAAAGTTCCGGGATATGCTTCGCCAGTCACCTTTCCCGTATTTATCCAAACCAAGAAGAAATAACCTGATTATCAAGATTAAAAAAACAAATCAAACACAGCATTAAAATCAAAATATGATAATTTCATAGGTCAAATTACGTATCAAAATACATCTCACATTCATAGGTAAGTACAAACACAGTTGAAATGAAGGGGTCGGAGCACGGATATGTGTTGGAAACGGATATCAAATATAGATACTTCAGGGAAAAAAATAAAGGGTCGGAGCAACATAGGTAGTAGGAGATTCTGATGACAAGTTCAATGTTCAAAGGTCTCACAAATAACCCATTGTTAAGCTGTCAATAATTACAGTGGCATTTTAGAAGCCAAATCACTTCAAAACAAAAATGGCAACCAAAGAACCAACTCAAGATTATTCAAGCATATCACTATCGTATATCGGTAAATACAAACAATATAGATCTCTCATGCATGCTTTAATCCGTTACTGATCATCGATTGAAGCATATTAGAGCATTGGAACCTACCACTTCCTATCTGATTCTTTGGAATATTCTGTGTGTATCTGTAAAACCTCAAGGGAATCACCTACCTTCCCTTTAACTTCAGATCCAAGGTTTCAGACAAACAACTCCTAAAGAAGATCATGCAGGTTAGGGTGGGGCTCTGAAGAGTCATTTAACAGTCTTACAAAACCAGAGTCCTCGAGCATTTCGCTTGCATCAGTGCCCATTGTAAAGACATCACCATACCATAACCCTTCTCAAGCTATTATGGAAAGCTTAACAATGGTTATTTGTGAGACCTTTGAACATTGAATTTGTCAAATCACTAATGCTAAACACCGAAAAATGAAGGGAGAAAGAGGAGCAAATCAACATCTCTTTAGAAAATTATCAAAAATACGAGACAAAATCGGCAAACTTTAAATGGCTGAACAAAGTAAATCCACATCCTGTACCATAACCCTTCTCAAGCTATTCGTTTCCTTCCATATCAGAATCAACTTCAGCTAGCACTACATATGTCAGCAGAAATAAACCGATACCTCAAATACCAACTTTAGCTTTAAAAGGAGGGGTAATATGGGGTTTTCCAAAAGATTCACTCACGCCAGACAGGGTTAAACGGTTAATCTGTGGATTAGGGGAATGAGTGTCAAACACGAGACGTTTAAGGATAGTAATTATTACCTTTTAGGCCACAATTTTTCCAGAAAAGAGAAAATGAACCACCAGCAATATCATTCACATGTGGTAACATTGAAATTCCATGTTCTCTTCGGTTATTCACATCATTTCCAGATTTATCCATTCATTTGCCTCACACACATCGACGACTTCAAAGACAAGAAGAGCTTCCTAACAACTAATAAAAATCAAGGATTCTAAATACGGACAGGTTAAACGATTCCAAGGCAATCAAAACATACAACAAAAATGCACATGTATCATACAAGTAATGTTCAAAGATAGTAGTTATGATCTTTTAGGACAGGGGTTTTCTGGAAAATAGAAAATGAACAACCACCAAAATGATCTCTCCCATGTGGTAACATCAAAATTCCACGTTCTCTTTGGTTATTTCACATCATTTTTGCATATATTATTCATTTATTGTCCTTTCACACACTCCAATGACTTCAAAGTCACGTAGAGCTTCCTAAAAACTACTAAAAATCAAGTATTCTAAATACAGACAGGTTATGCATTCCAAGGCAATCGAAAAAATACGATAAAAGGGCACACATGCCATACAAGTAACGTTTAAAGATCGCAGTTATGATCTTTTAAGACACGAGTTTTCTGGAAAAGAGAAATTGCCAGCCACCAGAGAGATCTCTCCCCCACGTGGTAACATTGAAATTTCATGTTCTCTTCAGCTATTTCACATCTAATCCGGATATATTATTCATTTATAATGGCCCATCACACACACCGACACTTCAAAACCATGTAGAGCTTCCTAACAACTAATAAAAGTCAAGGATTCTAAATATGAAAAGGTTAGGTGATTCCGAGGCAATCAAAACATATGACTTAAGGGAACAAATGCCACACAAATGACGTTCAAAGATGGTAATTATCTTCTTTCAGGGCATGAGTTTTCTGGAAAAGAGGAATTAACAACCACCAGCAAGATATCTCTCCCATGTAGTAACATTGAAATTCCATGTTCTTTTCGGTTGCTTCACTTCATTTCCGGATATATTACTCAATTATTGGCCTTTCACACACATTAACGACTTCAAAGTCACGCAGAGCTTCCTAACAACTAATAAAAATCAAGGATTCTAAATACGAGCATGTTAGGAGATTACAAGGCAATCAAAACATACAACTAAGGGCAGACGTTTCATACAAATGATGTTTAAAGATAGTAATTATTATCTTTTAGGGCACGAGTTTTCTGAAAAAATGAAATGGACAAACACCAGAAAGATCTCTCTCCCACATGGTAACGTCAAAATTCAATTTTCTTTTCGGCTGTTTCACATCATTTCCGGATATGTTATTCATTTATTGGACTCACACACTTAATGACTTCAAAGCCACGTAGAGCTTCCTAATAGCTAATAAAAATCAAGGATTCCAAATATGAACTGGTTAGGCGATTCCAAGGTTCGGGAAAGAAGGTAAAAAGTAAGTCCATTGGACTTTTGAATCCCACACTTTGAAGGAAATCTATTTATAATGTATGCGGAAGTAAGAACTGCCAAAGAATTTTAAACCACAAAAAGTAATTCACCTGTGTTCATCCTCTGTCCAAGCAATTCCCTTACGGCGTTCTTGATCTGACTTTGAATTCTTACTCCCATGGTTTGACTCACTGTTATAATGCCCTAATTGGCTGGTTCCCTTCTTACCGGCTCCATCGTCACCAGCATCGCCTTCTGAACTCTCGGAAGAATTATACGACGGCATAGGCACACAACCTGCTTCAATCGCGTTAATATCATCCTCTAGAACCTTGTAGTGTTCTTTAATCTCTTCCAAAGCCTTTCCAGGTACATCGGCTGCAATTCTTTCCCACCGATCTGAAGAGTCCTCGGGATAAGTTGCAAGGGCATTCTCAAACACCTTGTCTTGCACCCTAGTCCACTCGGAACTGCTACCGGCTTCATCCACACTCATCTAAGCTTGTCAAATACCGGTTTCCAGAATATCACCAGCGGGAAGCGAGAACTAAATTCACTAAATGTCCAAATCACTATAGCCTGTAATCCATCTCCAAAACCATAGATTTTCATGAACAGCAGAGATGTCGAGAAATGAGATATGCAAGAACAGAAGGAAAAGAAAACCCAGAAAAAGCCAACGAAAGCTTAATCCGAGATCGAAGTCCAACAAAAATCAGAAAGTCCCAGAAGAGTATGTGAAGAATACGACAATGTTTTTGCTCGGAGGATTAAAGAATTGGACTTCTGTGAATTGCTGACCTATTGATGAATGAAAGGGCAGCAAAGTATTAAACAAAATAAATATCTCTAAGCCATAAAATCTAAGATAACGAATGACAGTTCATAGAATTATATATATATATATATAAATTAATGCTATGTGAATTCAACAATGACATGATTAGGGTTTTCGATTGCGAAACATATGAAAGTGACGATGCAAAAAACAAATTAAAAATATATATATAAAAACCC